CTGTCCTTTAACTGTAACCATCTGATGAAAAATGACCACAAGATCCACACTCTGGACAGTCCAGATTGAAGTTCATGAGGGTTTTTTGTCCATGGCTGCTAGAGATGGTCTGTGAGACTAGATGACTGGGAGGATGGTGATATTCTCGATAGTAATAGGGAAATTTAGAAGAGGGGAGGGTTTGGAGGGAAATAGAATGAGTTCAGTTTTGAATGTGTTGAGTTTAAGATGTCTACAGGACATCCAAAAGGCAACTGGAGATATGAGACTGGAGGTCAGAGGTTAGGGTTGGATAAGTAGATCTGAGAGTAATCTGCACAGAGTTGATCACTGAAATCATGGAAGCTGATGAGATCAAGTGAAATAGTATAGAGGGGGAGGAGAAGAAAAACCTGGACAAAACCATGGTTAATGGGTGTTGTTGTTTGTCCTTTGTTATCAAAGAGGACCATGGCATCAGGAAGATGATGCCATGACTTGCGAGTGAACTGGATTTAAGTGAGGGAGAGCTCTGCAAAGTCACCAGCCTCACTTTCTCCTCGGGAGCCACCTGGGTCCAGTAACAAGATTTAGATCAGGATAACTGGAGATGGCCCCCTTAATGGGTGTGACCTGGATAAAGATTTAGGAAACAGAGAAGGTATAAGGAGAGCTAGGAGAGAGCAGAGTCATGAAAACCTAGAGAAAAGAGAGTATCAAGGAGAAGAGGGTGACTGACCGTGTCAAAGATCAAGAAGTGTGAGGATTGAGAGGCCATTAGATTTCACAATGAAGAGATCATCAATAACTTTGGAGAAAGTTGTTTCCAGTGAATGAGGAGGTCAGAAGCCAGACTCTAAAGAATTGAAAGGAAGGGGCAGTTGGGTGGCCCAGTGGATAGAGCTCCAGCCTTGGAGTCAGGAGGACTTTGAATTCAAATCCAGCCTCGGACCAAACACTTGACACTTACTAGCTGTGTGACCCTGGGCAAGTCACTTAACCCCAACTGTCTCACCAAAAAAAAGATTCGAAAAAAGAAAAGAATTAAAAGGAGAATGAAAGGAAAGGAAGTGAGACAGAGATGGAGGAGATAGTGGCAGAAAGCCTGTGGAGATGTGAGATAAGGATGGGGGTGAAAAAGGTGCTTTTAGTGAATGGACTCAGCTTTTTTTTTTCCCCAAAAATATAAGGAAAGGTTTTCAGCTGAGAGGGTTGGAGAGGAGGAGGGATAGAAGGTTCAAGGAGGGATGAAAAGGTTTGGAAAAACTGCTGTGGTTCATGAGATAGTGAATCAATTAGGGACATGTAAAAGGATTGCCTTGCTACATTGAGGGCCCATATCCCATGTTCTCTTGCCTGGCTAGGCACTCCTGTCCCTCTGACCTAGAATAACTGAGTTGGGACACAATCTCTGGTCATAGAATAGAACAAAATTAACTGGGATATAGGATTGAATCCCTGTCCTCATTTGCATTGTATTCTGATTTCACTACCACAGATTTCCTTACATTCTATCTCCCCCTAGTTCTGCCAGGCCAATTTGCTTGCTATCCTCCCAAAAAATTGTATTTGCTAATTACTGCCCCTTGTACTTTCACTCCTAAATTTCCTGCTCCTTCTCTGCCAATTCACCTTTACCAGTTCAAGTTCTGATTCAAAACTTATCTCCTCCAAGAAGCCTTCCCTGATTAACTTTACTCCAATTTGATTACCTCAATCTTATTTACATCATCACTCAATACTTTCCTTTGTGGTTTATGCTATTTTCACTAGCATTTTATATTATACTTTGTAAACATCCTTTATTTGTTTCTTATGTGTTTATCTCCTCAACAAGATTATAAACTATAGAACTTTTATCTTCTTTTGTACCTCCCCCAATAACAAATAAAATACAGTGCTTTACACACAGTAGGTCCTCAAAACCATTTATTGAATCCAAAAATGAATAACTAAATGAAAACTTGGGCACAGAAACAGTAAAACACTTGCCTTGAATTCTATTTCACTAATTCTGAAATAAAATCCAGTCTCTAGAGAGGTCTTTTCAAGCTTCTTTGAGCCTGAAGTTTCAAACTTGGGTATCCTGACTCCCACTTACCTCCCCTCCCCCCAGGTTCTTTTTACTGGACTCAGGAAAAAAAAGTCTCTACAATTCTATGTTCCTTTTTCTTTCATTGGGGAATCTCCTTCCTATGCTGTTTGATGATAAAAATAACTCCTCCTCTTCTTCCAGCTACTCATGGAACCCAGTAAGTGCCTTCTATGCACCTTCACCCCATCCTAGACCCAGACATGTGACCTGTGTTCATCCTCTGACTAGCGTTCCTCATATTTCCAGGGGCTATTTTGGGTCATGTGTTTGGGCCAGTCCTTTAGTGATAAAGCTCTCCTCTGGAAGTTGTCCTTCCTCCCCTAGTTCATCCACTCCTCTTCTTGTCTCAAACTCTCTATTATATATCAATATATAAATTAAATATATACATTGTTAAGAGCTGAAAAGGACCTTAGAGATTATCCAGTCAAAATACCTCATGTTGCAAATGAAACATCTCAGAGATTCCAAGTCACGTGCTCTATATTACATAGCTAGGAAGTTATGGAGGTGAGACTGTGTCCAACTCCCACCTACACTGAAGAGTTGGGTCCCCAGAGTGTTGACCAGGTATATATTTCCCTTAGGGTTCTAAACATACACCTGAGGAGGAAATGAGTATCTTCCTAATAATAGTATGGGCTTGGGCTCATGTTACAGTGTATTATTGATATCATTTAACCAATTAACAACAATTAACTTTTACAAAGGAATACTCATTAAGAAAACATAGGAAGAATAGAAAGACAAAACATTTTCCTCAACAGCTAGGACCCAGCCCAGTAATATATTGTTCTCTCATGGAATCATTAACTTCTATGTGGTCCATTCTAATTTTCAAGGATTTTGTTGCTTAGGTAAGTTTTGTACCTCTCGTGCTAAGTTGCTAATTCTCTTTCTAAGACTTTTCTTATAGCTCTCACTTCTTTTCCAATTTTTCCTCTAACACTCTCATTTATAAAATAATTTTGTGACTTTTTAAAAAAAAATCATTTTGCCTCATTTCTTTCAGGAATTCTAGTTGAACTTGTGCCCAAGTTGTGTTTTACCTTGAGGCTATGCATGTAGATGTTTTGGAGACATTCTCTTCTTCTCAGTTTGTGTCTTGGGTATCCCTGACACCATAAAAGCTCTTTGTGGTAAGATTCTATTTTTCTTTGCCCATTCTTACTGAAATCTAGCTTTACTTCTGGATTTCAGACTCTGTGTTAGGGCCTTGATGCAAGGCAAAGTCTCATTGCTTTCTTTGTGGTCTGAGTTGTGCAACCTCCTAATCTGAGTTTGGGTCTGAGCAACATAACTGTGGACGTGCCCCTGGTTGGAGCTCCAGTAGAAAGCTGCAGGATTCAACTACTGTCAGCAATCCAAAAGAATCTGCATATTCAGAGTGATAGACTGCAAGCTCTCCTTTGTCTTTTGGTCTGGAGGTAGGATCTGAAATCCCACTATTCTCCCAGGGTCAGGGCCACACAGCCACTGTCTGCTTCTGTTCCTGCCCCTTCTGTACTGTAGAACCTCAGCCCTCAACTGTTCCTTGTCCAGGACCCTAGACCTAGGTCATCTTCTCAGTCTGCACTGGATCTGTAACCTAGCTTTGGAATACGAGGGACAGATGTTCCAGGCGGCATCTCTACTTGCTCTTTGGACAGTATCAGGCCCCTCTGTGATAGAGCTCTTCTTGCCCTAGTGTGCAGACCCTGGCCCTCATTCAGTCCCTGCACTAGAAGGCTCTGCATTATGCCTTCCTAGCTAGACCCTATCCCCAGAATCTGAAGACATTTCTGTTCTCCTGTACCAACCTGGGCTGGAAAAATTACTCCATGATTTTTTCTTCTTCTTGGATTTCCCCATCAGGATTCAGTCAGGTCCATTTTCTAGATGTTTGTGGAGTAGTTGTGAGATGATGGGTTATGCTGCTTTCTCTTACTCTACCATCCTGGTGGGCCGCTGAGCAATGTATTTACTGTGATGTTTAATTGCTGAGTCCTGCAAGCAAGGAAGTATTTTGGTCTGTTGGCTACACACATTTCAGAAGTAAATTTACTGGGGTGAAAGTTTTGTTTTCTCCCCAGAGATCCAGGTAGCATAGGGGAAAATGTGTTCCCCAACTGTTGGGAGGGGGAAATGTTTTGTACCTCTTTGAAGTATGTGCATCTTAACTCTCTGACCAGGTTATAAGCTTGTAAAAAGAGTCTTTCCAGCTTTTTTCCCAGGAAGACATAGTTTGGTGGAAAGAGCATTAATTTGGAGTCAGAAGACTTGAGTTAAAATCCCAACTCTGTTACTAGTTGTGTGACCTGTAGGGCCAGTCCTTTAACCACGCAGTTTCTTCATTTGTAAAATGAAGAGATTGGCCTAGAAGTCCTCTGGGTTCCCTTCCAGTTCTGAAATTATCCTCGGTCATATGCCTGCTAAATTTGTTCCAGTTTTAAATCCTAGAACGCTAAATTTCCAAAGTTCCCCGCCACTTCCCCATCGCCTTTTTGATCAAGGCAATACCCTGGGGAGGGTCTGACCCGCCGCAGGGCTGTTTGGCCACCAGGGGCGCTGCGGTTTGGGGTTTGGCCACCAGAGGGAGCTGTGCTCTTGGGTTTGACTGCCAGGAGCGCTGCGGAGCTAGGTACGGCCACTAGGGGGCGCCGCAGGGTCGGTCGCGGGGCGCTGTGGAGCCAGAATTGGCCGCCAGGGGGCGGAGCGCAGCCAGGTCTGGTCGCCACCGGTGCTACGGGACGACGGTGGGGCCGGCAGGCCCTGTCGGGAGGTCCGGGGGGCCGGAGCTGCGGGGCCCGGTGTGGCCGCCAGGGGGTGCTGCCGGCTCCCGCTCGCCCGCCTCCCGGTAGGCGGGGCCCCGCTCTCCCAGCAGCCGCTACCGTCGCTGCCGCCGCCGCTGCCGCTGCCCCGTGTCCCCGGTGGAGCCGCCGCCGCTGCCGCCGGGAGCTCGATGCGGACGGAGCCTGGGCCGGGCCATGGGGATCCTCAGCATCACGGACCAGGTTAGTCACCGCGCTGGCCGCCGCCCGCCGGCCGCTGCCGCCACGCGAGCTCGGGGATGTGCGGCCTAGGCCTAGCCCGCGCCTTGGCCTCCCGCGGCCCCGGGCCCCCGCTTCGCGGCCCCCACCCCGGGCCGGGCCGGCTTCCCCTCGGCCCGCCCCGCCCCGCGCCGCCCCGCATCGCGCACACCCAGCCCGCCCGCAGGGCCGGCCGGCCCCGCCTCCGCGGTCCGCTGCCCTTGCGGCGGTGACAGGGCTCCCGCCGGACCCCTCGCGGCGCCCTCCCGGCCAGCCCCCTGAGCCGCCCGCCCGCCGCTCTCTCCCCGCAGCCGCCCCTGGTCCAGGCCATCTTTAGCCGGGATGTGGAGGAAGTGCGCTCCCTCCTCTCGCAGAAGGAAAACATCAACGTGCTGGTGAGCGGGGGGGCAGCCAGGCCCCCACCCCCTCCCCCGCCCCGGGGGGAGGCGCCCACAAGTGGGGGGCGGGGGGCTGGCCCCGCCCCGCCCGGGGCCCCGCCCGGCCTTCCCTCCCCCCCCCCAGGCCGGGGGAACCCTCCGCTGCCCGCCTTCTGGCGGGGTGAGACAGCATGCCCGGAACAGAGCCCCCAGCATCGGGGAAGGGGCAGGGCCGAGGGAAGGTGATGGAGGGATGGGCCCGGGCTCGACCCAGCCACGGCCCTTTCCTTTTCTAGGACCAAGAGAGAAGAACCCCTCTGCATGCTGCTGCATATGTAGGAGATGTCCCCATCCTCCAATTGCTACTGCTGTCAGGTAAAAGAGGAGTCATGGAGTGGAGGGGCCACCCGTCGAGGAGGGGCTGTCTTCTGCACCCTCGTTCTCTTTGCCAATCCCACCCCTCCCCGCTTCTCCCTAGGTGCTAATGTCAATGCTAAGGACACACTGTGGCTGACCCCCCTACATCGTGCTGCCGCCTCTAGGAATGAGGTAGGGTCAGCTAGGCACTTCTTCCCGAAAGGAATAGCTAAAGGAGGTGGATGGTGGAGTCTTATTCCTCTGTCAGCCTCCTTCTCTAGTCTCATCTCCTGTACCATCTGGAAAGTCAGATCTTGGCTCCTCCCTCCTGACCTCTGGGCAGGCTGTTTATGGGGGGCTGAGCTCTGCCAGCTGATTTGACGTCAGGGGCAGCTTAGCACTCTGCTGGCAGACTGCAGGGGGCTCCAATGCCAGGCCTAAATGACTCATCCCTCCCTGAGGGGCCACCCTAGAGCCTGCTCCCCTTTTGGGCCCTGGGAAGAGGAGAGGGCCCCTCCCAGGGCTACCCTGGCACTCGCCTGGCTTGAGCCATCATCCTAGAGGTCAGAGCCCTGTGCTCAGGAGGAGTTGCTGAGGCTAATGTATTGAGGGGTAGGGGGCTGACAACGTTTTGACTGGGCAATGAGGGTGGAGGTCATCTGTTTTCTTAGGTTGTTATTGAGGTTGATTTTAGTGGTTGTGGAAAGGTGGGTGTGTACATGAAGGTGGGAGGCTTTATTTTCCCTGGAATTCCCATGGGGGTAGGGAAGGTCGAGGAGTCTTTAGGATGTCTATATTTGCTTGGGGAAGGGATGTGAGGGGTAATAAGATTACCAAGATTGGGAGAATGGAGTTAGTTGTGCTTGAGGAAGGGTCTGTGTTTACCCTGGAAAGATGAGGAAGGATTAGGTGACTGGCAGTTGGTGTTAAAGTGGTTTGTGTGTTTTCTTAGGGGAATTGGGGGTAAGATCTTGTGGATGAAGGGATTCTGTATTTACTGGATGTCGTAGCTGTTTTCATTTCTGGGGTTAAGGAGCCCGTGCTAATTTGTCCCCTCACCTCCTGTTCTTTGTTCTTGTCCTGACAAATTCCCACTCACAGAAAGTACTGGGGCTGCTCCTAGCACATTCCGCAGATGTGAATGCCCGGGACAAGCTATGGCAGACACCACTGCATGTGGCTGCTGCCAACCGGGCCACCAAATGTGCTGAAGCCCTGGCCCCGCTGCTGAGCAGCCTGAATGTGGCCGATCGAAGCGGGCGCAGTGCCTTGCACCATGCCGTGCACAGTGGGCACCTGGAGGTATGGACTGTACTCACTGCCTGGGGCATCCAGACACTGTGGCTGTGGGGCTTGGTTTCCCATGCCCACCTCCTGGTCCTTTCCCTTTCCTAGTGTCTGCTTTCCCCACTAGTCCCTGTCCATGGTCCTTTCAGCATTTTGTCACTTCTCTCTTCAGTTTCCTGAGAAAGTGGAGAAGCTTTAGTATAAGATGGCTAGGGACAGGAAAGGGTGGAAAGGGACTTGTGCCAGGCTCTGAATGGAAGTGTCCCCTGTTCTCACACAGATGGTGAACCTGCTTCTGAACAAGGGGGCCAGTCTTAATGTCTGTGACAAAAAGGAGCGGCAGCCACTACATTGGGCAGCCTTTTTAGGTGAGGAAGAATCTAGATGGAAAGGCGTTTGGCCTACATAGGCATAATTTAGAACTTGGGAATTCTGGGGTAGGGTGCCTGGAACAGAGTTTATTCTCTGTTCTCTTTAGCTTTGCCTTGTCTCTGATCTTCTCCTCATTCCCCCCCTTAGGGCATTTGGAGGTCCTGAAGCTGTTGGTGGCCCGGGGTGCAGATCCTAGTTGCAAGGACCGGAAGGGCTATGGGCTGCTCCACACAGCTGCTGCCAATGGCCAGATTGATGTGGTCAAGCACCTGCTACGGCTCGGGGCTGAGGTCAGGGGGCTGGGGGACTAAGATCAAGGGCTTAAGAACTGTAGAAGAGGTTGTGTGGGGAGACAAGGTCAGCTTAAGGAAGCTTAGGTTTGGTGGATGTATGGGCACCAGGGAAGTTTGAGAGGCCAGTACTGACAGCCACAGATCTTGGGAGTTGGGGACCTAAGTAGGCAGAAACTGGAGCATTGGGATTCTGGGTTTCCTTGGCCAGGTATGCCATCCTCCCTATTTTGGCATTCCCCACCATTCCAGATCGATGAGCCCAATGCCTATGGGAACACAGCTCTGCATATCGCCTGCTACCTGGGCCAGGATGCTGTGGCCAACGAGCTGGTGAATGCAGGCGCTAACGTCAACCAGCCCAATGACAAGGGATTTACTCCATTACATGTGGCTGCAGTCTCCACTAATGGTGCACTCTGCTTGGAACTATTGGTCAATAACGGGGCAGATGTCAATTTCCAGGTGACTGGGAGGGCGGAGGCCCTGGAGTAGTGGGGAGAAGGGAACTGGTGATGGAATGTGGGGATCTGTTTTGCAGGGACAAAGATGAAAGATCTTGCTCAGACAAGCCTGGGAAATTCCCATGTTATTAAACTACTAGAAAGAGTTTCCAGAGTTTAAAGCCATAGTTACTCCCTCCCCTTCAGAACCTTATGCAATACTCGGCAAGTCTCCAGGGAAATGCCCAGTTGCTCCCCACAGTGATCACATTGAACCAGGGGCTCAAGGCATCAGGGTCTGCAAATTTACCTGATCTTTCTGGACCCAAGGACTGGTTCTTTGGGTGTCTGGCTTTTCTCTATTTTATACTGAGGGGTCTTATTTTCTACAGAGCAAGGAAGGAAAGAGTCCCCTGCATATGGCTGCCATCCATGGGCGTTTCACCCGATCTCAGATCCTTATCCAAAATGGTATGGACCTCAGAGATTATGAATTGTCTTCCTTTCCATAGGGATTCTAGATCTTTGGGCTTTCCAAAGATTCTATTATGTTGACCATTCTTGCCTGACTTCTTTCTTTTAAATAAATTTTATTGATATCTTTTGTTTTTACATTGCTTAAATTTTCTCCTATGTCTCTTTTCCTTTCTCCTTCTCAGAGAGCCATCCTAGATAATATAGAATATTGCCTATTTTCTTTCTAATTCTCTGTCTTATGATCAGGCACTTTCTATCACCTGACTTTTTATAGGTTTGCTTTCCAAAGCTTGTTATCAGCCTCAATCCTAAGGTTTGTTCTGTGTCTGAGTTAGTATATATCTTTCTCAGGCAGTGAGATTGACTGTGCTGACAAATATGGGAATACACCGTTGCATGTGGCTGCCCGTTATGGACATGAGCTGCTGATCAGCACCCTTATGACCAATGGTGCTGATACTGCCCGGTGAGCCGTCTCCCTCCTCCCCAGCCCTCAAAGCCCAGCCTAGGTGGTGCTGGGACAAAAGAAGTTGCCGCTCGCTCTCCCCAGCGCCTTGCTGACCCGAGGGCTGACTGCTGTCCTCTCCTTTTTCTAGGCGAGGCATCCATGACATGTTCCCCCTGCACTTAGCTGTTCTCTTTGGATTCTCAGACTGTTGTCGTAAGCTCCTCTCCTCAGGTACGTCCTCTTTGGATTTCTAGCTGGGGATCGGTGGGTAATAGTATCATCCCTTCTCTGATTATTGCCCAGAGGTCTGAACTGTGGAGATTTCTCCCCTCGCAGGTCAGCTGTACAGCATTGTGTCTTCACTCAGCAATGAACATGTACTGTCTGCTGGTTTTGACATCAACACACCTGATAACCTTGGCCGAACCTGTCTCCATGCTGCTGCTTCTGGAGGGTGAGTTCCCTTGCCCTTGTGCTCTGGGAAAGAGAACTGGACTGAGTCCTGCAGGTCATTGTTTCCTCTTGCCCAATCTTATTTCTTTGCTTCCAACAATGGAACCTGCAGGTAGGGAGTGCCAGCTGTTTTTTGTCCATTCAGGAGTTCCTTGAGTGCCTGCTTCTTCCTCAGAAAGTCCCAATTTCTTCTTAACCCTTGCTCATTCCTCCCCCTCTTTGCAGGAATGTTGAATGTCTTAATTTGCTGTTGAGCAGTGGAGCTGACTTGAGAAGGAGAGATAAGTTTGGAAGGTGTGTGGGAAGGGCTCGATGGGCCATGAGTATTGTACGGATAGCTTCTGACTTGGCTTTTAGCCGAGTTAAGAGGTTTTCATTAATGCCTTGCCTCCCCCTCCCCATCTCCCCTAGGACCCCATTGCACTATGCAGCCGCCAATGGCAGCTACCAGTGTGCGGTGACACTGGTGACTGCTGGAGCAGGCATCAATGAGGCTGACTGTAAAGGCTGCTCCCCTCTGCACTATGCTGCCGCTTCCGACACCTACCGGAGGTGAGTCTCCCTCTCTCACCGCCACACCCACCCAGCCAGCATCCTCCTCCCTCCTGTCCACACTGAGTCTGCTCTTTGTGCCTAGAGCGGAGCCGCATGCGGCCACCAGCCACGATCCTGAAGAGGACGAGCCACTGAAGGCATCCCGGAGGAAGGAGGCCTTCTTGTGAGTAGTTTCAAGGACCTCACAAGTCCCCACATCACCTATGTCCCTTGGGTCCTGTCTTTCTTGCCTGGGCTCCCCCTAGTCTGTTTCTCTACCAGCATTCAGTGCACATCGAGCTGGGCCCCAGGATCCTCAAGGAGTGTGAGGCAAGGAGCTCATGCTCCAGTTGAGATTGAGGTAGTATGATGGGTCTACACTTGTGCAATATTCCTGTCTGGAGTCTGGAGGTGCTTTTAAACAGTTACTCTGTTTGACCCTTCTGAGGCCTATGAAGGAGGCAGTGTAAGGCCATTGTCTCCATTTTACAGATGAGAAAACTGAGGCCCAGAGAGGTGGTGTGACTGACCTAGGGTCACATGGCCATTGAGTGAGGGAGTGAGGCTCTTCCACTCACCACTCTGCCTGTCAGTGGAACTGTAGCTGAGGGAGGCAGGAAATTAAAAGAGAGAAGACCAGGGAGGGCTGGTGTAGATGACAGGAAATGTCTTATGGACAAGCTGGCATCTAAGCTAGCTTTGAGAGAGGGCAGGGCATCTCAAATGTGGGGAGTCACCTGAGGGAAAGGAGGGAGGACAGGAGTGAGCACAACAGGTGAGGAATCAGCCGGACTGGAGCAGAGGGTGTGTCCCGGGGAGTAGTGGAAAATCATTGCCCCTATCTCTAGCTCGAGCTCTGGGTTCTCCTGGGGTCCTTCTCTGATATGCATCCTTCCTCTCAGCTGTCTGGAGTTTTTACTGGATAACGGTGCAGACCCCTCCCTGCGGGACAGGCAGGGTTACACAGCCGTGCACTATGCAGCCGCCTATGGCAACAGACAGAACCTTGAGCTGGTAGGTGGGAGGTAGTTCTGGAAAAGGTCTGGGAGCTAAAGGGACCTGACATGGCCTCCGGGGCCTCAGATCCAGAAGAGGCGGGGTTCACGATGAAGTGGGAGGACGCTGGGGGCATCCCTCAGGCAGCTCCCGATCCTCACATCCACTTCATCCTTTTCAGCTCCTAGAAATGTCTTTTAACTGCCTGGAAGATGTGGAGAACACCATTCCAGTCAGCCCTTTGCACTTAGCTGTGAGTCCTTCTTCTGTGCTAATTTGCACCTCCCTCATGGGACCATGGCCTTGGGTACCAGCACCCCCGAGTCCTCTTCCTAGCTTAGAGTCCTCTTTTTTTTTTTTTTGCCTTCTTTGGGGGAGTGGCCTTGAGGGCAGTAGTCTGGGTAGGCACCGACTTGGGAAAGAGAGTTAAGCACAAATGTCAAGCCTGTGGTGCCTAGCAGTTTAGGAGAGATTTTGTCAGGGCCCCTCCAGGGGGTAAGGGGGTAAGGGTAAGGGATTGACTGTGTACCTCGAGGACTAGCTCTGTTTTGGTTCCCGTGCTCTCCCAGGCCTATAATGGTCACTGTGAAGCACTGAAGACACTGGCAGAGACGCTGGTGAACCTGGATGTGAGGGACCACAAAGGCCGGACTGCACTGTTCCTGGCCACAGAACGAGGCTCCACTGAGTGTGTGGAGGTGCTCACAGCCCATGGAGCCTCTGCCCTGGTCAAGGAGCGCAAGCGGAAGTGGACACCCCTCCATGCTGCCGGTAGGGGCCTCTCAGAAACTCACGCAGCCATTCTGTACGATAGAGGGGTCAAACGGGTCAGAGCCAGGTGAAAAAGAAGTGGAAAATATTGAACAAAATAAATAAAAATACAGTGGAACATCGATAATGTTAATATGTGGTTTTCTAAGTCACCATGCAGCCTGCAGGCATCCTCATGTATGGCTTAGTGGCACCCCTTTTCTGTTTGACTTTGACAGCACTACTGGATACCACTGGCCTCAAACTCAAATAGAAGCCAATGCCTGCTGCCCACTTCTTGGCTTAGAAAACCAAAAATCAGCATTATCTGTTTTATTGTATTGTTATTTATTTTTGTTAAATATTTCCCAGTTATGTTTCAGTCTAGTTGTAGGAACTGGGGAATTTTTCAAGCCAGAATTTAAACACCTCTGCTACACCTTAGCAATCCCCTGTTTATGCAGGTCCAAAGTGAGGGTAGAGGCAATCTGGAGAGTACTAGAACTATCTTTGTCAAGTTCTGTGTCCATTTTGTTTGGTGTTATTCTGAATCACATTTGGGATATTAAGTTCCAGTGCTGGATCACTATTCTGTGTCCCATAAGGTCCCTTCCTCTTCTGACTTCCCCAGAAGAACCCTCCATACTGCCCCTCTTATGACCTGACTGCTTTTCTCTGGGACTTCTCCCCCTTTGTCTCTTTCCCTGGTCCCTTTTTCTCCCTCGGCCTGTCTCCGTTCTTCATTCCCTGTCTCCACCCTGCTCTGATATGCCTCCTTTTCCCCCAGCTGCTTCTGGTCACACAGACTCCCTGCACCTGCTGATTGACAGTGGAGAGCGAGCCGATATCACTGATGTCATGGATGCCCATGGACAGTGAGTGTAGGGGCTGAGGGTCCAGATGCCTTGGTTTATGGCAGACTTTCTCATCTCTTAGCCTGACACTCTTTCCCTTTTCCTGTCCTGCCTTCAGGACCCCACTAATGTTGGCCATCATGAATGGCCATGTAGATTGTGTGCATCTCCTGCTAGAAAAAGGATCAACGGCTGATGCAGCTGATCGCCGGGGTCGAACTGCCTTGCACCGTGGGGTGAGTGACAGATCTTGCTAGGCAGAGCCATGGTAACAGGTAGAAGATTTAGTTGCATGGGCCAACCAGTGTTCGGGAATCAATTTGGGGACCCCCAGTGTGGCCGTGGGCAGTGAGCCATCTTATCGTCCTCTAGGTAGGTTATTAAAACCTCCATTCTATTTTCCTGACATCCTGCTGGGAGACCACATAGTGTAGTAGAAGGAACATTGAACCTGGAATCAGGAAATCTTGGGTTCAGATATGGTCTCCAACACATTGTGATCATGGGCAAGTCATTTGCTCTCGCTGAGCTTCCTCCTCTCTCAAATGGGGTTATTAACTCTGGCAGAACTTATCTCGCAGGGTTATTCAAAGTGCAGTGCTTTGTAAACCTTAAAATTATATAATTATATATATATATATATGTAAATGTGAGCTATTATTATTATTTTTATAATGTGTGCTTATGTATGTAGCTCACACACTCGTGTATCCCCATCAACCCACTCTTTCCCCCTAAATACTCTTGACCTGTTCCATGGGACAGATGACTAACGGACTTCAAAGTTTTCACCACCTCATTCCCTGTACTTTCTTCCTCCTTAGCTCCCTCTCCTGGGCCCCTTTCTTCTTCCTCTTGTTGTTATTTGTCATCTCCCACGTCAGAGCCTTGGGATCGATCATGTTCGTGCCGTTTGGCTTCCACTGATAGACAGGATGGTGGGTGGTGAAGAAAAGGAGGAATTCACCCCAGCATTCAGTGGTCAGGGTCAGGTTCTTAGTACTCGGGGTGAGAGATAGGTTAACTACCCCTGTTGCTGGCTCATAGGCGGTGACTGGCTGTGAGGACTGCCTGGCTGCCCTTCTGGACCATGACGCCTTTGTACTATGCCGAGATTTTAAGGGCAGGACACCTATCCACCTGGCCTCAGCCTGTGGCCACACAGCTGTCTTGAGGACCTTGTTACAGGCTGCCCTCTCCACAGATCCCCTGGATGCAGTAGTGGACTACAGTGGCTACTCTCCCATGCACTGGGCCTCCTACACTGGTCAGGGGCCTGGGGATGGGTGGGCACTGGGGATTAGGGGATGGGACTAAGGCTGAATGTGCGTCAGGGCTGGAGACAGCTAAACTGAGACCTGGGAGTATGATGGGATTGATTTGGGAGAATGCTGGATTGCAGACTGGAAGGAGGGAGCTTCGTTCTTACTTTCTCCCGTGTTCTCCGTCCCTCCTTTCTCTCTTCGCCCTCATTCAGGACATGAAGATTGTCTGGAGTTGTTACTTGAACACAGCCCGTTCTCATACCTAGAAGGAAACCCCTTCACTCCTTTGCACTGTGCAGTGTGAGTGAACTCCTTCCTATCCCATCCCCAGAGGGCAGTGACTCAGGACCCAGAGGCAGGTGGTCAATTTTTCTTTCCCCTCAGTAATACTCCTTTCTCTCTTTCTTCAGAATTAACAACCAGGACAGCACCACAGAGATGCTCCTGGGAGCACTGGGTGCCAAGATTGTGAATAGCCGAGATGCCAAAGGACGGTGAGTGACCAAATCCTGCAGAATGATCACTTGGGCCCCTGTACTAAGTTCCCTCCACCCCCGTCACCACTAGCCTGACTCGCCTAGGCTGAGTAGCCTCCCCTGCTTTTTCTACTCCCTCCCCCACCTGCAGGACCCCCCTTCATGCTGCTGCCTTCGCAGACAATGTCTCTGGGCTCCAGATGCTGCTGAGGCACCAAGCTGAGGTGGATGCCGTTGATCAGGCTGGCAGAACGGCTCTCATGACAGCAGCTGAGAATGGGCAGACCGCTGCTGTCGGTGCGTGCCACGCATGCCCGAGGGGGAGCTGTGTATGTGGGAGGGCATGGGCAGAAGAAGCCCACCTGGGAGTTTTTCCTGGGCTGGGCTGGGCTGGCCTCTACCTGAGAGCAGGATTTGGGAGTACTTAGGGTAGGAGTATGTAGCTGATGATTAAGAGCATTGTAAGGAGAGATTGAGATGGTGGGCACATGTGTCAGGTAGGAAGTCCAGGGCCTATTAAACTTGAAAAGGTAGGGGTAGCTCTGTGGCCTTAAATTGTGTGGTTTGTGATGATCTTTCTCTTTCCCCCGGCAGAGTTTCTGTTATATCAAGCAAAAGCAGACCTTACTGTGCTGGATGGGAATAAGAACACTGCCCTGCACTTGGCATGCAGCAAGGTCGGGAGCAACATCCCTGAGAGGATATGGAACCAGGCATGGGGGGTGGGCAAGGGGATAGTGGCAGGTTGTCACGCCAGGAGAGGAGGCGGAAAGGGTCATTGGTTAGGTGGGTAAGACAAGGAAACTGGAAGCACCATGTTTGTAGATGTGTGGGTGTGGGTGTGGGTGTGGGCAGGGGGGGTTCTTGACACTGTGGTCACACTCAGGAATGCTTGTTGTCTCCCCTATGCTACCAACTTCGTTCTCCCTTTAGAAGCCATCCTTTTATGCCCTCCTTCCCCCACTTTTTCTCAGGGCCACGAGAAATGTGCCCTGTTAATCCTGGCGGAAACTCAAGACCTTGGCCTTATCAATGCCACCAACAGTGCACTGCAGATGTGAGTGTTCACACAAGAGGGCCTAAGGTTGGGGTGGCAGGTGGGAAAAAGAAAGGGGTACTCCCAGGGGCAAGGGGATCCCAGGAGGCCTGAGTGGATAACTGCAGATGCCTTACCCTTCTGGATTAACTTGCAAGGACAGCTGAGTGCCCCACTAACTTATTCCTCTTCTTTTCCTTCCTCCAAGGCCACTCCACATCGCTGCCCGGAATGGCCTGGCTTCTGTGGTGCAGGCACTACTCAGTCGTGGGGCCACAGTGCTGGCTGTGGATGAAGAAGGTGGGGTGGGGCCCAGAGCCCCCCCTGGGTTGGGGTCAGGGATACTATACTGGGGAGCTATTCAGGGTAGAGGGCCCGGGCTCCCCCATCACTCATTCTGGGGTCACTGAAAGGAGGCGAAGTGACGGGGCTTCCCTTTTGGGATGAAACAAAGGAGAGCCATCAGAACTCTCAGGAAGGCATGCTTCTGCTCCCTCCTTTCTTGCCCTCCTATTCCAGACACACAAATGTGTATACTCTTTCCTGGCTAAGGGTGCATTTACCTGCACACTTAATGTTCTAGAAAAACTTGACTGGCTGGGCTCACCTCCACAGATTTGTAGGGAGCCAGGCTGGTGAGGGAGGAGATTGAAGGGCCCATACCTCACTTTCCCCTGATGTGCCCTGCAGGTCACACTCCAGCCCTGGCCTGTGCGCCCAACAAAGATGTGGCAGACTGTCTGGCCTTGATCCTCTCCACCATGAAGCCTTTCCCACCCAAGGACGCTGTCAGCCCCTTCAGCTTCAGCCTGCTCAAGAACTGTGGCATCGCCGCTGCCAAGACAGTGGGTGGCTGCGGTGCCCTGCCCCATGGGGCCTCCTGCCCCTACAGCCAGGAGCGGCACGGCGCCATCGGCTTGGACGGCTGCTACTCAGAGTAGATCCTCCGTGGGTCTCCCCACACTGGTGACCTAATATCTTATTCTATTTATTTAGAAAATGTCTATAAATATAGGGCACTTTAAAGGAGAACACGACTTGGGTGATGGGGGGGCTGGGAGTGGGGATAAGTGAAGGGGAAAGGAGGGAAAGAGTTGGAGAGAAACTGCTCACCCCTCTGCCACCCAAACTGAGCAGGGTATTAGTGGGCTACCAGGGAGTTCCCAGATGCTCTTGGTGCCCCCAGGGCAGGCCCTTCTGCCAAGTAATCTGAGAAAATTACTAAATGCCTGGCTCCCCTTAGCTCTGCCCACCCTTGCCCCTTGTCTTACCCGCCTCTCCCCGACAGTCTGCTTTCAGCTCCACCCCTCTCTTCCTCCTCTCTCTCTCCCTCCCGCTTCTTCCCTTTTTGTCCTCTCTCCAGTTTTCCTGCCTCTGGAGCCAGGCAGTTACCTGTCCCCATCCTGATCACTGCCCTTCCTGCTCGGCTAGCCTCTCTACCCCCGAAGCAGTGAGAAGCCTTAATTTCTGGTACTGTGTGAGCACTCTGGAGGTGTCTCCCCACTCCCCTTAGGGGCAGTTGGGTGGTGGGGGGAAGACTTTTAGCACTGAGGCCTGGAGCTTCTTCCTCTCCCCTCCAGTCTACCCTGTCTCCCTCCACCCCCTCCGATTCAAATGCAAAACACTTGAAGCAACAACTACTGTACCTGGGACTCTGAAACCTGCTCCCTTCTCTCCCCACTTCCTCATATGCAAATCAAGGGCTGGCTCTGCCCCCCTCCCCCGGCTTGGCCCGGCTTGGCCCCCTCACCATGCACTTTAACCTCGCTTCTTCATTTTAGCTCCTTTGGGGGAGAGCATCGCTGTGGCTTCCCTCCTCCTCAGCTCTCCACTTAGGCTCATCATGAATTTTTAAGTAAGCATTCACCCTGTAGTAGAAGAAACAGATGAATTTCCTGTCCATTTCAAAGCCACAGCCCTCTTGTATTCCCTGTGTATGTTTCAAGCATGTGCTCGTATGTGCGTGTGGAAGGAGGGCCTCCCTATCCATAGTTCCTCTGGGCCTCCCTCTCTGCCTCTACCGTCCCCTTATGTCCAAGAACACGCCCACCCCCAATCACTGCAGATCTGAAGCCAAAGATGGTGGGAGGGGCAGGGGCAGATTAGAGCCCTCCTCCAGAGCTCGGGCCCTTGGCTTAGAAGTGGGAAGGCAGAAGAGAGCCCCTGACTCCCAGTGACAGGGGCGTGTGGGGGAGGGCCAGGGGCTGCACTAACAGGATTCCTAGAGCCCCACCCTCAACACCAAACTAGGGAAGGTGAGGGGGGCAAACTTTTCTCTAAATGTAGCATTGAATTTGGCCCTGGTCCCCTTAAATGCCCTAACCATCCCTCTCCCAGCTAAGCCTCCCAGAGTATTCCCCTGAGCCCCTCCATCCAGTGTTCCCTTCCTCACACGCAATACCTCAGCCAGGAGCCAAGACACATAACTTGAACAGAGGCCATGCCCCTTCCCCTCCCTCAGTATCCCCCAGTTGCCATCAGTATTGTTTCCCAAAAACTAGAGTGGCCTCGTTTACATAGTGCTTTGTCTCCCCACAGAGAAACACAAGGGCCCACCCCACCCCCAATCTTGCTTGCATTCTTCACAGTTGTACTTACTTTTCTGTTTTAGACTTGTGTTCTGCCATCTCTGCCTAGAATGATGTTGGGGCATTAGGGGACATCCCAGGGCCCCCTTCCTCTGCAACATCCCCCAACTTTTCATGTATCCAGTTCTCTGTAGCTTGTCTGAGACCTCATCTCTGCCATTCCTCTTGGTCTCTTTGTGTTCCCCACTATCTCTGTCCCCCTTATTCTCTTCACCTGCCCCCCCTCCCCAATCATTGTTCTAAAACCATTTCAAAACTTCTAAATGACCATTGTTGGTGAGAAGGATTGTGCAGCTTTTAGTTTTCGATCCTGTTAAAGCCAAAGGGCCTTGTGCTGCCCCTTTCCCCTATGTCCTTCCCACACTCCCTCCTTCCCTAAATGACAATCAATGTGACCTCTCTCTAAGGGCTGCAGCCCCTCCCCTCAAAAACAATCCCTGCTTGGCTTTTCCAAGTGCCCTCGCCCGGCCCGCTCTGCTGATTTTCTTGGAAGCCTTCTCACTCTCCCTCCCCATTCTCATTGTGACGCAGGGAGTTGGGTGGAAGGGACAACCCAGGTTCTCCAGAGGGGCCCATCTGTGTGTCAGTCGTGTTCTCCTTTATTGATGCTCAGCCACATCAGTAAGAATCTGAGTGTCTGCAAAGCGCCCCATTATTTTGCTAAAAGAGATTTCTGGTGGCTGCCCCTTCAGCACAGTGTCAGCATTGCTGGGGAAATAAGGGAAACTGTTTGCCCCTCCTCATGTCATTGGTGAGGGGGCCTGGGGGATGAGCAGCCTCCTCTCCTTATGCCAAAGGAAATTCCCTGCCCCGCCCTGGGCTCCCAAGTCCCTGTTGTTTTTGAAGCATCTTGTCCCATACTCATGGCCACTGCATATTTATTTTAATTTTCAGGGTTTTTTTAAACCTTTTTGACTTAAACGGGTGTGGAGAAATTAAACAAAGGCAGAATGGCCCCCAGTCCTTCTCCAGGAAGGGGAGGGAGTAGACATCTCTTTCCCCTTCCTTCCCTAGGCTCTCCTCCCTCCCCTTCCTTCCCCCCCCAAAAAAAAGCTCTAAAGCACTTGCTTCAAGTAATAAGCACTTTTTGTGGAAAAAGCCTCTCTAGAGAGGTCCTGGAGAGCAGCCCCAGGGTCCCAGCAAAGAGCGCTATGGAGGATACAGACAAAGGAAATGGGTAGGAAAGTGGAAAGACAGCTAATGAGAGCCAGTTTTTAGTTTCTGATTTTGGGGGCTTTTCTGATCTGAGGGACATTGGGCAGTTGGAGGGGAGGGTGCTCCCTCTCCCCAAAAAAGAAAGGCACAAATTGTGGGTCCTGGTAGAACAGATAGAGACCAGGGTCACTGCCACTTGTCCAGCTGAGACTGATGGGGCTTCCTCCCCCACCCTGCAATGCCCGAGCCATAGGACTGCTGAAAACCACTGAATGTACAGCCCAGGTTGGGGGGGGGGGCAGCCCATAGGGGAGGGGCTTCTATTCTTCTTGTTTGGTGCTGTGGGGGGTGGGGGAGATAACACTGAGGGACTCCCACCCCCAATAAGACTTGTGTTTCTTGGGGTGGAAGAATGGAGGAGGGCCTACCTTCCTTCATTTCACCCCAGGACCCTTTCCCTCTCTTCACCCCCTCCGTTTAGACTGTAAGTCCAGCTCACCTTTGCCTTCAATATGTAACCAAAGGAAAACTCAATACTGTTTCCACCAATGTCCACCAATGTTGCCCCACTGGACCACCCATACGTTCCCTTGGCCTGGAAGGGGAAATGAGGACATGAGGGCCATGGGAAATGTTCTGCAGAGCCCCCAGTATCTTCTCTAGAGTCCTTAAAGCGATCCTGAGAGCTGGGCTGGAGAGCAGGGGAGGGGTGGTCAATTGGAGGGAAGAAGGTAAATCTGAATATTATGCACACAAGTGTTTCTTTGTTAACAACAGCTCCAGCAGACCTCATGTTCCAGTAAGGAAGTCCTTCCCTCCTTTCCCCTCCTTGGCCATACCCAACCCTGGTCCCCAGTGTGTGTTAAATCCTCTCCCCCTTCCCTGATTCCAGCAAAGGAAAATAGCCTTACAGACAATAGCCCAGAAGCCCCCCCCCGGGGGGAACAATAGTTTGGGGATCTCCCCACCCCTATCTTTTCAGAATGTGGGGGATGGGGAGGAGAACAAAGCAGCCCCTTCTTCTGCCTGGTAAAAGTGGTTCCAGCCCTCTCTGTCCAAGGGGTCCTTAGCATGGTCAGGTTGGCACTCCACTGGAGAGTAAGGGTCAAGGCAATGAATACTTGAGGTCCAAGGCCAGAGGTCTGAGAGGAGGGTCTGGCTTGTCTCCCCCAAATCCCTTCCCAGAGAAGTGACCAAACGCCAGGTTTGGGGAGGGCAGGGGCTGGGAGGGGTGGTAGTGGGGGGTGCTGCTTTTTTTAACTACTTGAAGGTACTAACTCCAAGGCTGCTGTTGCCCATTTTTGTGAAGTGATAGAAACTGTACCTAGCACTTGGGAGGGCACGTACTAGTGAGGGTGGATTCTTCCCAGTCCCAATCCTCCCACCCCCCTCACTCCCCCTGGGCCTGAGCACTGGACTGCCCATTCTGAGCCTCCCTTCCCCGGGGAGCCAAGAAAATTGTCTTGGCTCCTGGGGAACTGGCTCCCCCTCATTCTGGGCACCATCTCCAATTGCACTAAAGTAGCTTTGTGCCAGTCTTGCCCCCACTTCAGGGTGGGGTCTCTGCTTCCAAACCCTGCTCCCCACCCTTAATCTCCTCGTCCTTTTGTCACACCTGGATATCTCGGCATTGTGTATGTGTCCAGGGCCAAGGGAGGGGGGAATCTGGCTGGAGAGGGGTCAGTTATTGAAGATAGGAAAAGAATGGAGAACAAAATCCTTCCTGAAGCCATGGGAGCCCAGGAGTGAGGGTATCTACCCTCAATGCTATGTGTCTTGCAGATGTGCCAAATTGGGGTGGGGGTGGGGATGAAGTGGGGCTGCTCTGCTAGCGGCTCCTTCCCCCCAAGGTGGCTCTCTCAAAGCAATACAGTTCCCCCTTCCTGGGAGCCAAGCAAGACAGGGGAGAGGGAAGAATGGGGCCTGAGGATTTCCTCATGTACAGCTGTGTATATGGGGGCATGAGAGTGTTCTTTGTATGGTGCCCACTGTGGGTGTCTGTGTGTCTGCTCCTCTCCCCTCATGACCTGCATGACCTGTGATGCTGCAAACACCACCATCCTGTGTGCAGGTGTGTTGGGGGGCAGAGGGGATGTACCACGTCCCTTACTCCCCCCAACCCCACCCCGTGACCCATGTACTCGGTCGTAGGAAGTAAAGAGAACTGAGCACAATTCACTGGATTCTAGTTGAATCTTTCTCTAAGCAATTGTCACACCTGCCTCTCCTCCCTGCCCCACACCCACCCCATGGTGCTAGTGTTGGAATTGGGGAGGGGTCTGAGGGAGAGGGTCTAAAACTACTGGGCAACAATACCGGTAGAGATTCTGCCTGGGATGCAAACACCCAGAGTGTCAAGGGCAGCATGGGGAGAGGGGGCTGGGAGGGGCATCACATGTAGTCCCCCTAGCCCTGGGGTAAAGCACAAAGACTCCCTGCAAATGGACATACCCATGCCCCCATCAAACCTAGGTTGGGGGTGGAGGGACAGGTGGAAGAAAGACCCCTCCTTTCCCTCCCCATGGCCTCCTGCTCTGAGCCTCAGGCCAGCCCTTGGTTTTCTACCCTCTTTTGGTGTGAGAACAACTGTTAAGTCATCATGGCTTTGGGATGGGTTCTGTTTATTAAAGTCCTATTGCTCCTGTTGGCCCTGTGTCCGGCCTCTGTTCCTGGGATGGAGTGGGGCGGTGGGGAAGGGAGAGGAACCATGACCCCCTCCTTCTGTGGTTCCATTTCAGCCATCTAAGGGCAAGGGAACCAGCTGCTCCTCAAACAGGGCAATAGTCAGCATGAGGCATCCCCCCAGCAGCAGTCCCAGCCCCTGCAGCAGGATGTGGGATGTAGGCAGGGGGTCTGGGGGATGAAGCAGGGTAGGTAGCTGAAGGAAAGAAATGGCAGTCAGATCCATGACCTTCGGCAGCAGAAAAGGCCTCGAGGTGATATCTGACAATCTCCAGGGCCCTTCCTGTTAGGGCTACTCACTTTGTTCATCTATCTCCCCAAGTTCTTTGAGCATGAAGCGGGGAGGGGGCAGGAGTGGAGAATGGTACACCACCCACCCACCACCATAAATTTACAATGATATTCCTCACCACCCCCTTTTTAATCTCCATATTTATCGGTGCCAACTCCATGCCCCCTTACCATATCCACAAGTGACACATAAAGGAAGACCCCAGCAGTGATCCCGAAAACCCAGGGAGTGAATGGGGCAGGGCCCTGGCTGAGACCCACTCCGAGGGCTGCGCCACACAGTCCCAGGGCCCCTGACACCAAGCTTAACAGCAAAAGCCTTTTGTAGGGTAGCCCAGCCTGGAGTAGCATAGCAAAATCACCTGTTGGGAAGAGAAAGGTGATGGCAGAATGAGGCAAATCTCAGCCTGAGCTTAGCCCAGCATCTCCCTACCATTACCACCCAAGACAGGCCTCTGTTCTCCTTGATCACTACCCTCCAATCCCCAATCTGTAACTGGGGTGTGTGTGTAGTGGGGCTTGGTATTCTGGCCTTCCTTCTTGGAGGCCTCCATTAGTGCCTTGTTTCTATCATTCCCGTACCCAATTCATGGGGAAGCTCATGGCAGAGGACAGCCAGGGTAGTGCTGATACCACTGGAAAAACCCTCAGAGAAGGCAGCTCCTGAAAGGAAGACATGAAGGGATCATGAATTAGTTATCCGTCACCAATAGGCTCTGCTTACTGTGGGTGGCTCTGTACTCTACCTACAAGTCCTCCACTCAGCCTCACCAGTTGTATCATTTCTTCCCCGTATCCCCATTCCTCTTCTCCCTCACCAGTACCCTAGCACCCAGTCTAGCCCTCTGTCTTCCCATCCCCTTTCCGATGGGCCCTCTCTTTCACCAATGGCAAGCCCATCAGTGAAGTTGTGAAGTCCATCTCCCAGCAGGACCATCCATGTGACTTGAGCATTCCCATGGCTTGGGTGCCCATGGCTGTGTCCATGACCTTGAAGTCGTAGTGGGAGTGGGCCTGGGGAAAGTTGACTACCCAGCTCCTGTGGTCCTTCAGTCACAGCATCTATAGGGAGAAAAATAAAGGGTTTGGATGCTACTGCTGAATTCGGGGAGCCTCGATTCCTATTTGTCCTTTCCCCAAAGTCTAGCTCCACTTAGGACTCACCTGGGCCTTCCCTCAGGGGCTGAAGAGTTGCTCCCCCGCCATTTTCTAGGTCCTGAATCCCAGGATCTCTTCTTGTTTGCTTACAGCATCTCTAAAACAGGAGTGAGACCAGGACTTAAGAGGGAAAAAAGTAAAACCAGAGGGCTAAGGTGCAACATCTGGTTCCATCATTGACATCGATGGGCCACCCTTCTCTCTTGGTTTCTTGTCTCCCTCAGAAAGGAAAAAGAGGTAGGATGCCTGGACACTGTCAGGAGGTAAGGTGAAAGGAACTGCCACCCAACTCCCTCACAAACTGACGAGTTTTATTGAATATGGGCAACTTGTAATGGGAGGAAGACATTACCCCTTACTCCTTCCCACTCCCATCCCCACCTCTGCCTATTTTGTAGACAGTTGAATGAATTGGTTTTGGGCTCGTGGGCAAGAGGGGAGTTACTCACCGATTGTAGCCCACCATGCCGAAAAATCCCAAGTAGATTCTCCAAGACAAAGAGGAGAAAGAGGCCTCCCAGAACAGCCAATCCAGGGCCTAAGTCCCCCCCGTGACGTCCGCCCTGAGCCTGAGACGTGGAAGTTGGAAGATGAACCAGAGGCCCAGGAAGAGTCTCCATCTGAGAGGAAACTTCACCCAACCCTCAGAGCAAGACAGCTTCTTCCCCCAACTCATATTCCTCTCTGAAAAAGCCCATGGATTTGGAGAGAAGGGGGCGCACCAAAGAAACAAGGAAGTGAGATGCTCAAACGCAATTGGAACAAAAAACCAAGATAGAAACCCATGGGAAGATTGGAGAGTCTCAGGTCTGGGGTTTTATGTCACATACGTGTGGCAGCAGGTGCAGCAGAGCATCTCCACAAAGTGTGCCCACAGCCAGTGCCCCCAAGAAGCCCAGCAGAGGATGCAGCAGCCAGGACCCCAGGAGTCGTAACAGTAGTATGGAGAAGGGAGCCAGAGCGCTGAGCACCAGGACAGCCAGAGCACTATGGGCCAGGGCTGGGGGTGGGGGCAGGGAGAGGGGGATGCATAGTCAAAGGTCAGGCTGGGGCCAGGAAGGTCTCAAAGAGGAGACAGTTGGGAATAAGGACTAAAAGGGGAGGTAGGAAAAGTAGGGGACTTCAGTCTGATCTCTTTGCCCAAGCATAGTACCCAACTCTCCACTGAGAATGAGGTATCCAAGTTTAATAGGGACATCACCACCACTGCACCCCCAGTGAAATTTCTACCCATCTAGGTCACTGACCTGACAGTAAGTCTCCTTGAGGGGCAGGATCTGGGGTCTGGATGCAGACTCGGCTGTCGATCTGGTAGAGCAGGGCTGGACACAGAAGGGCAAACTGACGGGGAGTCAGTGGAGTGGCTGGGCTTAAGCCAAAATTGACGAGAAGCTGGGAGCCATTCAGACACTGGGGAATTTGGAGGTCAGAGATCAGAGGACCCCTGGGGACAGTGACTGAGGACCTTAAAACTCTGCCCCCAAGAGCATCTCCCCCAAGGTTTCAACTCCTGGGCCAAGGGGCTCTTGAAGCCCTTGGGTAGCATATACCATGTCTGTCCTGGTCTTTCAAGACGGGACCAACACAAATGGACACACGAGGAACTGGGAGGAGAGGACAAGGGAGCTTTACATGCACGTGGAGGTGAGGAAATCTGGCCAAAGTATGGTCTGCATATAATAACATTGGAAATGACAAATAATCCTTGTTTCCCACATACATCCCAAGTCAACAGCTGAGGTACTTTCTGTGAGTGGATGATGCTGTTGTCTCACCCATTCTAAAATCTGAGAATCCTAAAGAGAGAATGGTCCTTAAAGTCTATTTAGACTATAGCAATCTCCAGTGGCAGGAAACTCACTATCGATTCAGTCCAATAACTGGAAAACTCATTTTTATAAATTTCTTTTTCACTATCTCCCTGTAATTACTGTCCAATTGTCTTATTCTGGTCTTTGAGCAATTTACAATGAGACATTCTTTAGATATGTGGCGACAGTGATTACACCTCTCTCCTCGGTCTGCAGGCTAAAAACTGTCTTCACGTTGGTCACATAACCTTGCCTAGATGTTCTTTACTTTGTCAAGAGTCCTTCAAATGTTGTGACTAAACTTAGACATCATTCTCCAGAGACTGTTGTTAACCAAAGGGTACTGGTCCTAATGAGCATCTGATCACTACAGATAACATACTATTTCTATGCTCTGGACACCATCCTTCTGTTAATGCAGAGTAAGATGGCTATTGGTTCATATTAAACTTGTGGTTAATGAAAGGCCCCTAATTTTTCCCTCCTCAGGGTTCCCCTACTCACATCCTCATTGAGATGGTCAGACAGTGAATGGTCCAGCAGCAGCAGCCTGTGAAAGAGGCCGAGACTAGGAGATGGTGGCCCCTGGGGCAAGTGGGAGGCCACTGGCTTCTCTGGATCCCTCCATTCTGAGGATCCCAGGGGTAGTCCTGTCCAGACATCCACACTCAGTCCAGGGGCCACTGGCCTGAAAAGGATGGCGATAAGGAATGGAAACGGTCAGCTGTGGGCTCAGAAAACCTCTCCCAGAAATGTTAGAAAAGCACTTCTTATGAGGAGGTCAAGAGGACATGAGGTTGGAGGGAGTGGGGTGGGGGTGGGATAGGGGCTATGGCTGCCGGAGTCTAGATATTAAGGATTGTAACACTGGGGAAGACTTGGGAATTCACAAATAGAAAAAAAAGTGAGATTGGACTGGGAGATAATGGGTACTGAGTGTCTGCGCAGGGGGAATTAGGGAATAGCTCAAAGTGGCAAATTGGAAAGCTAGAACAATGATCAGAAGGATTGAGGGTATGAAATGGGGACTGGGATTTATTCAGGGACTGAGAATTGGGGAGAATAGTACTTAGGGAATGGAGAATTTGGGGAACATGGGAACTGAAGATTAGAGGGCCTCAGCACACAACAGAAGCTACGTGATTCGGTGCTCTGGGGACTTAGTACCTGTGTGTGGAATTGTCCCCAGGGGGGGGGCCCAGCCCTACCCCCTGTGGGGCCCGAGTGTCCCAGTCGAAGTCCCTGAACCCGACCCAGGCCTAGGCTATGAAGGAGCCTGGCAAGGCCACTGATACTCAGGGTTCCATTCTCTCCATATAAGCCAAACAGCTGTGCCAGATAATGTCCCTGCTCCTGTTCAGCAGGACCCAGGGGAGCTGCAGGACCTGTGGAGGGGTCCAAACCCCCCACCCACCCTAGAGCCGCCCAAACACAGAGTCCAGCCAACAGGGGCCCCATGGTGGAGCAGGAGAATGGGAAGGTAGTCCCCACAGCTGAGGCTTCAAGGGTTGGACTTCTATTCCCCCTGGGGCATCCTGGGGCCTAGCACACCTGAGAGAATAAGGGTAGAGGGGAGTTCAGAGAAAACTTCCCCCCACATTCAAAGCCACTTAGAGTCCCCCTGCCCATCTCGTAATACTCTCATTTATTCTTTATTTTACCTGTGGCCCCCACAATCAAATTTTCCATTCTGGCCTACTTTTAGTCCAGCCTAACCCCATCTCCCTCCTTCCCAGTATCTCCTTCTCATAACACAGTACTGACCCCCGCATTATCACCACTACCCCCACCCCACCCTGTCTGCCAACATCCAGGAGGCTTCTTCCTTCTGGACTTCCCCTTCCCAGACCTTTACTCCCCCAGCTTCCCTCCTCAAATGGGATCCTATCGATACCCCATTCCCCATCCCTTCCGCCCTTTGCACTGCCCAGGCCTCCCTAACCCCACCTTCCCTGGGCCTCACCCACACTAGCAGTGTGAGAACCTTCCACGCAGGTCTGTCAGCATCTAGGGATAGATCCTGTCTGGTTCTCTTGGGGAGCTCTGCGTTTGGGAGTCCTGTGAAGGGAAGCCTGATCTCAGCCTCCCAAGTCTCCAAAGTGAAGCGTAAGACACGTCAGGAAGGCCAGGACTGCCACCCTAACACACCTGTCTGGGGGTGGAGTGAGGGTAGGAGGGCTCATATCTGGAGTTAATGGTTCACTTGACTCTGTGCTAGGGTCGAAGGCCACTGGACAGGGAAGGGTTACCCTCTGCCCCTTTTGGGGAGCCGTATGACTAAGTAAGGCCAATTTAGGGAGTGCAGGTCTCAGATTCTGAATCTACTGTCCCACCTTCTAATCCTTGCTTTGCCACCTCTCACACCAGCTGTTCCCCCCTCTTCTGTTCTTTTTCCAAGTACGGCACCCACCCCTGCCAAACACCTTACTCCCCCCAGGTGGAGAGAAGAGGACTAGCCTCTTCATCTCCCTGTTGCCCTGCTTCCAGAATTAGTTTAGGCAAGGACCACGATCCAAGAATCTTAAAGCTGGGCCAAGGATTACCAGGCTTAACAACCCACAAGTCCCAGACTGCTGGGAAGGGTATGGTTCATTACTATTCCCCACCCAGAAATATCTAGAGACTGAAGAAGGGAAACGCTTATGCAGAGAGAAGGTTAGGTTCCTCACTTCTGGCCTAGAGCCCAATGACAGAGGTTGGCATTACCTGACCACGGCAGACGTGAGGAGCCCTAATGCAAGAGGATCCAGGCTTCTTACTTTCAGCAAAAGGGGTGGGGGGTGTCAAGGGTCAGTAGCTGAAAGCTTGAGGGAGGGACACTACCTTAAAGGGGCAGGCCTGCCTTGCAAGGTGCCTGTCCTCTAATTTCTCTCCCCAGACTTCTCCCATCCCAAGGTTACCCCAAACCTTTTCCAAGTCCAGAGGCAGTAACTCTCTGTTCTCCCCCATACATTAAAGCCACAGGGCGCAAAAAAAAAAAAAAATTCAGGCACACTGGGTGTAAGTATTTATTAGGGAAGTCCCCTATATCACACATATTTAACATACTCACCCCAAATTTGGTTTCTAAAAAGGGCAGAGGAGGTTGGGAGTGCCCAGAATGAAGGGGCAGGAGACAAAGTACTTGCGTGGGGGGATGGGGTTTGGCTTAAGAAATAAGGGGGAGAGACGACTGCCCCCCTCTACATCAGCTCAGAAAGTTTGAGGCTATAATACCCCCCTACCATACACACCCAGCTAGCTCCCAATGGGCAGTCTTTGTTCCTAGTGGGGAGACAGAGAAGAGGGGTGTCTTCATGAGGAAGAAGGGTGTCTCGCTATCTCTTGCTGCTCCTTCGAGTCTCTTTGCCGTTGCTGACAGGGTTGGAGGAGGGGCCTGGAGGGCCAGCAGGTGTGTGGCTAGGCTGACTTCGAGTGATGCGGGTGCTGATAGGGTGAGTAGGGGCGTGGGGTGCATGGGGGCCACTGCCTGGGCCAGGGGGCGTGGTTAGGCTGTTCCCATTTTGATTCTCAGAGGCTGGTTTTAGGAAAGGGGAAGAAATACAGAGGACAGGAATTAAAACAAATGACCTTCTGTTTACCCCCAGCCCTGCCCTCAAAAAAAGAAACAAAGGTACAGATGGACCCGTGGTTACAACTCCCCTGACCTAGCGAACCCCTCCAGCCACTCCACCTTAGGGGACAGCAGGAAAGATGAGCTACTGGCTCTAAAACACAAGGCAAAGGAGATGTGGATGTGGGAGATGGATGGCAAGCAGGATAAAGTGCCTTGTCTCCTCTCGACCTGTGGCACTCAGGCTCCCCCGTTACTGTTTAATTCTGGGCTCAAGAACATGAGGCGACATGTTTCCTCCACGTCTAGATCGGGGGAAAACAAACATTTAAATCTTAAATGTTTAATTGAAGGTAGGCAAGGACTGCCTTGAATATAGTGGGCACTCTGGATTTCTAAACTGAGGGATCTGAATCCCAGCAGCCTACAGACGTGAGGCACGATGGTGATTTGGAGAGGGGAGAAACCGTACAAAGCCAGAGAATGCTTGGAAGGGAAGGCATTGGCAAAAGAGAGATTAAAGGCAAATCAGATCCAGAGCACAGGGACTGAGACACAGCCTAAGAAAAGAGAGAACAGAATGGCTGAGGTGAGCTAGTTGAGAACAGAGCTACAGATGCAGCCAGAAGGGAGAGGGAGAGAAAAGACGAAATGGCATTCGGGGGAACACCGAAGTGCTTGATGAGGGAAGGTTAAATGGCCAGTTTTGACCCAAAGATCATGAAGTCCTCTTTGGAAATGACCTCACTCTTCTGGATGCCCAAAGAGAGGTTAAAGAGTCAGGCAAGGGTGGGGAGCCTCCTTCCATTCTTTGCTGAGTTGGGAGACTATGGGTGTGGATCACTGTATATACTGTCAAGATTTAGTGATGTTTTGGTTGATTTTATTGTTTTCCCTGTTTCTTATTCTTTGTTACGGCGAATGGTTCCCTGAGTTTTTCTTGTTGTTCAGTCATTTCAGTTGTCATGTCAGACTCTTCATGACCCCATTTGGGGTTTTCTTGGCAAAGACACTGGAGTAGTTTCCCATTTCTTTCTCCAGTTCATTTTACAGATGAGGAAACTGAGGCAAACAGGGTGAAATGACTTGCCCAAGGTCACAAGTGTCTGAGGCTGGATTTGAACTGAGAAAGTCAAGTCTTCCTGACTTCAGGTCCAGTGCTCTATTCACTTTGCCAGTGCCCTAGTTCCCTGGATAGGGTTAGATATATTTGGAAAGGGAGGAGGTCTAAAAATAAAAGACATTAATTTAAAAAAAGGGAGACTAGCTGGGCCCAAGACTAGAAGATTAAAAGTATAACCTCAAGCCCAAAACCTAGAAGGGCTTAATAATCAGGCAGAGCTAGGCAGCGTGATGGACAGAGTGCTGGACCTGCAGTCAAGACTCCAGTGTGATTCCTGTCTAAGACAAGACAGCAGCTGTGTGGCTCTGGGGAAGTCACTTAATCTTTTACCTTCAGTTGCCTCATCTATAGAATAGGTATAACAGCAACACCTACTTCAGGGTTATTGTGAGAATCAAACAAGGTATCTATAAAGGTGTTATTATTATTATTATTATTATTATCAGTATTATAACAGAGAAGAACTAACAGATGATGGCCTTCACTTGCCAAAGAGAGGAGTAAGTAAAACTTTACTGGAGTGTAGGGAAATTTGAGGGGTAAACAATATATGGCTGAAGTAGATAAAGCAAATTTTAGCTTTATACCTAAACTGCTCGTATACTGGACTGCCATGAAAAATGTGGGGGTGGAACTGACTGCCAGAGAAAAGGTATTGGGGAAGAAACTGGTAATTGGGGGTTTTCTTTAACAGAAAAACTTCCAAATTCTTTTTTCTTAGGTGGTGGCAGCAGAAGGATGCCCAAAGACCTACCAATGGACCAAAGAAGGTGCTATACCCTGTTTCATCCCAGGGGCCTGGTGGAAGTAAGCAAAAGTAGAAAGGAAAGGGAAGAGTTTTGGGAGTGTGAGCCCAGATTTCTGAAAGGTTTCTAAAAGGTGCTGACAGGAAAGAACCATCATCCACCCAGAGGGGAGGGTCAGGCAGCAAAAAGAGGGATGCTGAACCTTTGAGGGCATTTCCTGATGTGTCTCTCAAATAGGAAGAAATAAAAGAAGGGTTTGGATGTCACCCTCACCAAAAAGCAGAGTAGGAATTCACATCTGTGTGAACTGACAATACCAAGGGATGATCTCCAGAGGGCCCCTTTTCCATTCATTGAGATGGAAGGTCAAGGCAGAATTTTACCTGAAGAGACAGCAGGAGGGCCAGAAGGGGACTGGGAAGTGGCAGAGGTACTGTCGTTCTGTACCTGAAGAAACCAAAAACACACTTACACCCTGTTCCCTTGCTCCTCGCCTTGAAGTGTGAACCTGAACTTGAGGAAGCAGCCATGCCAGCCATCAGGCTCTTTTCCGACCTTGGTTCCAACCTTCCCTAGCTTCCTTTAAGTACCATCTCAAATCCCGTTTCTTACAGCTTTCCCAACCCCCTCTAATCCTTCCATCTGTTAATTATGTCCTATTTATTCTGTATGAGCTTGTTTATACATATTTGCATGTTGTTTCCTATATTAGACTGCAAGCTTCTTGAGGGTAGGAAATGTTTTTTGCCTCTTTTTGTATCCCCAGCACGTAGCTCGGTGCTTGGCATGTAGTAGGCACTTAACAAACGTTTACTAATTGAATGAAACCCAAAGCAGACCAAGATGCCCCAGACAAATGTATCAAACTCAAACAGAAAGAGATTCCTGTGGCTACTTAATGACTTAGAAAACCACAAGTTAACATTATGTTGTATTGTATTTTTAGTTGTTTTTGTTAAACATTTCCCAATTACATTTAAATTTGATCTGCTACTCTTAGAAACTTTGTTCTGCAGCCAGCAACCTGCAAATCTGATACCTCTGCTCCCCCTTGCCATGGATTTTCCCTCCCCTACATTTTCAGCTCCCTTTTATGCTTTGTCTTCTCCTACTAGAATACAAGCTCCTTAAAGGCAGGGGCTGTCTTTCTTTTTGCTTTATCTACCTATCTACCTATTCACCTCTTTGTTAAAGCAACAACATCCCTCTTTTTCCTACTCTTTACAAGGATCTCATGGACTCACCGTTTTGCTGGGGAGCTGCTGGGCACTGTACTCGGGGTTTGGCTCACTGAAGTTGGGGACCTCAGAATAAACCATACAGAATCTACCAGGAAAGGAAACAACCAAAACCTAGGTCAAATCCTTATGGGCCAGTTCCAGAGGTATCAAAAAGACATGTAACAAAATCATAGTTTTAGAGCTAGAAGGAACCTTAGATGACCCCGAATCTAACCTCTTCATTTTATAAGAAAACTAAGATCCAGAGAGATGGTTTGCTCAAGTTCACATAGGCAGTTAAGTGTCAGAGCCAGAATGAGAACAGAGATCTGATGACACCAAAGCCATCACTCCACTATACCTTGATACCCTTACTAATACAAGGTATGAATACCCCTTAATTACCACCCTCCTTAACACTATGGCTTTCTCCCCTTCATTAGGGGAGAGATGCTTCTCCAACCCAATCCCCCCACTCCAATCTAGCCCTTACTCTCCAATCTTCTGCAGATCACCCCCACGGCCAGTGTAGAGCGTCAGACAGCCTTTAAATACTGAAGCATATCTGTTGGGGGAAGACAGCACATAGGGAATGCAGGGAGGACACATCAGACTTCTGCTCCCCTGCCTTCACTGTGACTCCCATACTTAGATCAAGGAGTGCTTCACTGGCCTTACCCCTTGGTGAGTCGAATAATGTCCCCAGGCTGGATCAGGTTGCCAACATCATCCCAAACAGATATATTGATGCTACCTGTTTTATCTGCTACTTTGCAGGTCCTCACCTCATGTCCATCTTTTGTCTTGGTCACTCGGCCTGGAAAGGGGTGGGGAGGTGAGGAAATCAGAGGTAGATGAAGAGATCTCAGTGATAGGATAGGTTTCAGGCCCTTCACAATAGGAAGGACACAAGCTATCCCAACACCACTGAAACGGTTTCATGAAGATAACCAGCGGTACCTGGAATACATATAACGTTGGGTTCCAAGTACAGGGGATGGATACCACCATGCACCCTCCCCCCAACACAGAAGCTCTGACCTTTGCTCCACAATACCTGAGCCTGAGCAGGCAGGTGGGTGGGTTGCCACTCTGAACTGTCTTGAACCAATTCACTTTCATCACCGGACCCGGTGCACAGCCAGATCACAAGTGGTTATACTCCCCAGGCCCTGAGACACCCCTCACCCACCTGTTTCTAGCACAATGAAGATGAGATTCAGATTCTTAAGTCCTGGTTTGATATCTTTCACAAAGGTCTCCGTCGTCATGCTGCCCAGGCCTTCACTCCCTGCCCATGGGAAGAAAGTGTGAGGATGGGGGAATGCAGCAGTCCACTGTCCAGCTCTTCCAACACATTCATCAGCCTCCCCCCATTGTTAAAACATTGCTCTCTATTTTGACATCTCCCAAATTAGTAATGGGGGATCCCAGAATAAGTTGCCCCAAAGCTTAGAGGCGGGGTGCCTAAGTAGCGCTTCCTGGGCCTGGGGTGGGGACAGGGCCTTCCCATTCCTAGGACGGGGAGGAGTGGGAGGAAGGAGAACGGGGCCCCTCCCTTACCCAGTGGCCCGGACCTGCCTCCCACCCCCCCACCCCTCAAACTACCACCCACCCAGCGGGGAGGATGGTGCACGCCGCTTAGCCACCCCCAGGGGGAGCCAGGGTCCTAGCCTCGGCCGGATGCAGCCCAATGGAACGTAGAGTCTCGGACATTCCAGGAAGTATCCCGGTCCGGCGGGTGCGGGCCAATCAACGCGCTCGAGACGCCGTTCCGACGCGCGCGACCCCTCCTCTCCTGCGTTCTCCCTCCCTCCGCACGGTCGCCCCCAGGCTCCGGCCAATCCGGGATGTGCGGCGTCCCGGGTCGGAAGGGGCGGGCCCTCAGCGTTAAAGGGACCTCGGAAAGTTAAGCCCTGGCGGAAGTAGAGCCGGCCCGCCATTCGGAAGCATCGTTCTCCCGTCCATCGGTCCCGTCCCTTCCCCGTCTCGGACCTCTAAAGTCCAGGTTCCGGAGTGAAAGTGATAGGGCCCAAGGCCACTCCTTCGAGGGAGGGAGATCCTGCTCTCTGGCCCTCCCTACCAGGCCTCCCAAGGGCCCTTTTCTGGACGCCCGGCGGGTCCTCGAAGCAGACACGCCGTCCCCCGGCTCCGGGCAATTTCATCCGCTTGTCCCCAAGGCTGGGAACTCTCCTTATCTTCAGCTCCCGGCCTCTCTGGCAGCCTTCAAGTTCCAGTTAAAATCGCCCCTCTCCCGACCCTCCTGAATCCTAGTGCCCTGCATTGGTGCTTAGGTCCAGTTTGTCCCGTATCTCGTTTATTTGCCATAGTTGTTTACGGGTTGTCGCCCCGCTTAGACTGTGAGCTCCTTGGGAACTAGGACTGCCTTTCCTTTTCTTTGTATCACTAGCGCCTAACACATACTAGGTACTTAATGGATGTTTATTGACTGACTCCAATACCTTAGCTGTCTTTTACGGTCTGTGGCATAATTTAATCCCTGGAGGATGGGCTCCTTCCTTCCAGAGTACAGTCCGTCCTCATTTGGGCGGAGGAGGGAGCTCTAAGACTTTTCCTCTGTAGTACTGACCCACCCTTGGCTCTTGAAGGAAGCATAAACACAGAAACACCCACATCTCTCCAGTCTCCCCAAACTTGTATGTATTCTGCCGGGAAGGGAAAAAGCGGACTTAATTCCAAAGGGGCCTTTGGAACGGGATGCCAGATTTTCCGTGTTTTACAACAATCATAGGAGATTGGCATAGCAACAATAAACGACTGACATAATGTGCAAGAACCCTATCCATCTGAGAATAAAAATGTTTATATACATACCAAGTGTCCATAATTATAATTTAAAACCTAGATTAAGAAAAACAACGATAATACCACCTTGGGTTTACAGGGCACCTACCTTCTCCAGTGGAATTTAAGTCTCTTGAGGGCAGGGACTGATTCAATTTTTGGTATCCCAGAACCTGTTGGCACATAAGCCCTTAATCTCCATTCCATTCTACCTGGTCTGTGCTCATTTAAGAAGTTTGTTTCCCCCAGGCACGGTCGACCTCGGTCCCTCATGTTCCCTACATCTGTGTCCCTGAGACCTCTCGGAGAGAATACATTCAACGAGCGTCCTTGGGAAGGAAGTAGCTTTTGAGGGGTATACGGGAGCGTATAAAAATGTGACTTCCGAAAAGATCTCTTCACCAAACTTATCTTGGCCTCCCCAGGAGACGGACAGGCCTTATTCTCAAAGACAAGGGGATTCGTCTTTGGACTGGGGAGATGGGGAAGGCTACGGGAGCCAGCATGGGAAGACAAGAGACCAGCGGAGGCCTCTGGACGGCAGAGGAAGCCAGGAGCTCAAAAGGAAGAGCCAAGAGGAGAGGGAGTCGCAGCCCAAATGAAGCTCTTGTCACGTCTTCCCACCACAACTCCAGCCAAACAAGCCCGCAAGGCGAAACACGTGCACGCGAGCAGTTCTAGGAAGGAGCCCCGCCCCCTAAAGACACTCTTCGAGGTATTTCAAGTAACAAAATTTCCTTCCCAGCTGGAGGGGCGGGTTAGGGGGGGGAAACGTAGAGTCCTCTCCCCTCCCAGGCAGCTACGTTGTCCTCTTTCGGAATCACGAAAACTTCCGGTGGGGGGAGGCGGGCCAAGCTAGAGCTTCCACCTTTCTCATTGGCCAGGAAATAATCTTCTCCCCCCCTTCCGGCCAGAGAGCCCATTAGGAGGCGGGCCGTGGCGTGCCGACGTGTTTCCGGTGGGATGTGTAGCACGGGGAGGCGGGGCAAAGAGTGTGCCTTGGACGGATGAAGACTGGGCTCAGTCTTCCCCTCCCTTTCCCCCTTCTCCGAGGAACTACGGGGAAGAGGCCTTTAGGGCCCAGCGCGTGACCGCAGCCGCTTCACCTCCAGCAGGAGTCCGGAGCGCGAAGAGCCAGGTCAGGCTAGTCCGAGCCCGGGGAGCTACGGGTCTAGACCGCTCCCAGGACGGTGCGTACTGCGCCTGCGCGCGCGAGGTGTCTGGGAGGTGGGGCTGGAGGAGTCGGGGTTTGGAGGGGTGGGCAGGCAGGTGGGCAAGATCAGAATTGAGGAGGGGTGTTGACTGGGTGAGAGGTGGAAGGGGCTGGGAGAGGAGGAGGGACCAGAAGAGGCAGAAAAGCTGGGGGAGAGTGGGCTGGAGAACAAAGTGTTGTTAAGTGGGCAGCGATTCACCCACTTTCCACTCACTTTCAGGGTAACTGAGCCTCTCTTCCCCATTTCTTGCCTTGCTCCCTCACTCCTCCTTATTCCAGGGTGGAATCCCACATTTTTTCCATCCCTGCTCATGGTTTTCTGCCTAGCCTTTGAATATGAATGCATGGAAATCTTCCCAAACCGGAGGCTGAGGGGAGACTAGTGAGATGGGAGGAAAGGCTTTCTCAGAGGAATTGGCTAACAGCCAGAGACAGGCAGCTCATTTTGCCTATCAGTATTAAGGTAACCCCAAAAGAAGTTATTTAATCAAGCCAGCAAAATGGAAGATCAAGAAAGATAGAAGGGTTTTTCTTAGCTCAACTTATAATAAAGGACGGCTGTAGAACCAAAAGAGGTCTACAAGATGAAAGTTTTGAGAGGAAGTATATGATTAATTTAGTTATGTTATTTTCTTTGAGTATGCAGCCAACATTACCTTCCAGTTCAAAAGAGGAAGCAACTTAAGACTCTGGTCCCTCTCAACCGTTTCCACCTAGATTCCCCAATACTTGGAGGGCAGAATTCTAGAACCAACTAGGTGATAGTAAGGTAAAGTTTACAGGGAAGTACACATCACCTTAACATACAGAAAGTTTAGCATTTAGAGCTGACCAAAATCAAAATGGGCTGCCCTAAGGTTGGCGAGTTCCCTACTAAGATTTTTGCTTTAGGTTGAGGTTGGACTAGATGCCCTTTGGAGGCAAGTTGCCCTTCCAACTTGTCAAGTCATATTTCTTATGAATTGTGTTAACATAGTACGAATACCATCTCACCTAGTTATGTTATATTTCCGTGTGTGTTCTCCTATCTTGTTGTATTTCACAACAATGCATACATTGGGAAGGTATTATTATCTCCATTCGACAAAACAAAGAAATGAAAATATGAAGACATTAACTGACCTAATTGAGGTTAGACAGCTATGGCAGAATCAGTACAACAACTTTGGCCTCCTGTCTTTCAGTTTTGTACTTTTTTTTTTTAATTGTGAAATATTACGTCACCCTGGCCTACCAAGGAGACTTAGAAATTGTAGGATTTGTGATACCTAGGAAAGTATTGGTTGGGGGGAAGGGCAGGGCAGAATGAGGCTGGTTTAGTGACATACTCTTTAGAAACACTATAGGCATGGTGAGTGCCTGCTGAATCACCAATTTTAGGTTTCTAATTAGGCCTGGGCCATGAATTGAACAGATAGATCACTCTCTAAAACTGGTGGGGTGTTTGTGAAATGAAAGGAAGTCTCTGAATGAAAGAAGTAAGACATCTGATCTTCTTTGGTATTGAAAGAGGAGAGTGGGCCATGCTTTATTATTTTGTGGAACCAAAGAACCTGCAGGATGACAGACTGTGAATGGCACTGCCCTCACCCTTTTATCATAGAGTCAGTCTCTGGTTTAAATAGTGCTACTACACTTATATTATTATTGCAGACCAGTGTCAAACTAATTGACATTTACTCTAGGCTCAGAAGATGAAACATATCCTTCATTATACCTGATAGCAATAATTACTCTGCCACTTCCCCTTTAAGATTATTTAACATGAAAAGTATGTGTTTGACATATAGATAAATGTACATAGGGTACAAAAAGTGTGATTGGGCCTTATCCCTTTTCTCCTTAATGCCTTTACCTGTACCTCTTGCCTGTGTCTGATGCAGCTATTTCTTTAGCAAATCAACCTCTTTGCTTGAATCGTTTCCTCTTCCCTAGTGTTGTAGGACTACTTCCTCCTGTATTACCTCAGCCTTTCTTATCCTAAAGCCTGTTCACTTTTTGAGTAACTGGGAAGTGGGGAATATCTGAACCAAGTGTTCCCCAGTTATTGTCTCATTTTTACACACCTAGAATGCTCCCCTTCCTTAACTTTGCCTCCTGGCTTCCTTCAAAGACACAACTCAAATATCACCTTTTGCCCTTTCCTCCACCCCCCTCACCTCTACTAGCATATTCTCTCTGAGGTTACATTGCATTTGCCCTGTATTCATTTTGTACATACAGGTTACATGGATTGTGTTTCCTTCATTAGAGTGTGAGTTCTTTGGGAACAGAAAGTTTTTTTGTGTGTTTCTCGTCCCTTTAGGGCTTTAGCACAGTGATACATAGGAAGCACGTAATAAATGCTTATTGACTAACATCTGAGCAAGTTCATAGCCTGTAAGTAAAGTCTTGTACCTTCTCTTTGGAGGGAGGGTAAGTACTCTCTACATGAGGCAATGGATATGAAAACATTTGGTAAACTCTAAAAAATGATACAACTGTGAGGTAGTATGGCATCTGGGCAGTGTCTGACTGAAGGCTTATGACTTTCAGGAATTGAAGTTACATTTCTTCACAGAGTATCTGAAAACACAAATGATTGTCTGTTTCAAAAAAGTGTCTCTTTTCTTCCTTTTTCCCCCCTTTAATTTGTTCTTCTTCCCTATCCTTTCACTGAAACCTGTGTTTGAGCCTCTTCCACAGTGACTGTGATTATATATCCAAACCCCTTTTCCTGATAGTGGGGGGGGCCTTTCACTGGAAACTCATGCTTGACACAACTGCCTCATCCTCCCCATTTGGTTACCAGTTCCAAATCTGTTTACCTATTTCTTCCTCCCCCATTGAGTAGAGTCGAGTTTTCCCTGACTTACCTTTCTTTTCCTTGTTCCTATTAATAGAGCAATCCTGATTATGACATCACGACCATCCCCTTGGTGATGGAGCTCATCATTAGGATGGAAGAATGAGTCTGAGCATAACATACAAGATGGGTTACTGGGAGCATATCGTGAGAGGTACTGAGTGGAGCCGTGAGGGGGCTGGAGCCTTGTGAACAGGGACCCTGCCCCACACCACCTGCCAGGTAAAAACAGACCATTGGCTCAAGACCATGCAGTTAGTTTCAGTTGCCTTTTAACAAGCCGTGTCCTTTCCTTTCCTCTCTAATTCCTGATCCACGCCACAGAGCTTTGCCTGTTTTCTTTGCTCTTCGTTCCCAACGTTTTACACTCTGGCACCTATGTTCATTTTCACTTGTTTTTGGTTGCCTAGGAGATCTTAATGATTTTCATATGTGTCTTCCTGTCTGCCAATAGGCCTTAAGGCTGCGTCTTAGATGATAAATCCTTTGGGAAAAGGAATTGACTTAGATTGCTTTTATGATGCCCTTCTACCCTCCCACCTTCCCAAGCACAGAGCAGAGAGAGTAGGAGAGTTTCTATTCTGGGTGTTCAGAATGTTATTTAAGTGATAAATAACTGGCCTTTTGATGTAGTTGTGCCTTTTTGTATGTGTTAGGTTTTTCCTAGAAAATTGTGTACAAATTGAACTAATTTCTAAATGGGATTATATTTTAAATATACAAAGGGAGTTTAGCCTCTACAGAGTCCTGCTTTCATATGCCATGGAAGCATGGCAGTGCTACCTGGGACCTTGAAGACTACTAGTGTAAGCAGAGCATAAACTGAGTCAGAGTCTACTATGGTAGCAAGGTGATCAGCAAGTATACTCAGTGCTGAAGGAGAGAGGTCCTGTCAATCTTGTCATTCTCCTTATAAATGAAGCCAGAAAAGGAGGTTGCAGTTAGCTAGACAGAGGGATAGCTTACAGACACTTTTTAGAGAGACAAAGAAGGGAATTGGTTTTATTCCAGCAGCAGTGATAAATATAATTTCATGGGACACCCAATATTTACCCCAAAAAATTACCATAAAAATAGTTGCAATTCATGTACCAACATTGGTTTCAGGGGGAAGTAGAGGAATTTCTTAGAAAAACTAGAAAATTCTCATGCATTCAAATCAGCATCATCTGATACACAGTGACTTTGGTGTAAAAGTTGGAGTAGGTGATGTTGGTGAGAAACATGTAGGTCAGGAATAAAAGGCTGAGAGAGGTCAAAGACTTGTAGAGCCAGGAAGCTTCTGTGTAGGCATTTGTCATTAATACCTTATTTGAGAAAAGAACCAATATGCTCCAGATATAGTGAGCACCAAATAACATCACAAAGCATTACATTGGTTATAATTGAACAGCCCACCAAAGTTTAGGTACTATTGTAAGCACTTAGCACAGTGCCCGACACATAGGAGGTGCTTAGTAAATGATTATTCCCTTCCTCTGTTTTTGGAGTCATTCCCGACTTTGTACAGACTGACAAGTTATCAGAGCAGAGGTCAAAATTAGCTTTAGCGAGAAGAAAAAGTGATAAAGATGAAAAGCCATGGGACTTAGTCCTGACCTAATCAAACAAATCATTGGTAATGAAAAATAGTAAAGGAAAAGGGCATGGACATTGATTATGATTTTATACAGAAGTTTTTAACTAATGTAAATCAATCACCACAGTGAGAAGACCAAATCAACCTGAAAAACATGTCCCAGTGAGCAAACATTTGACTTGTGGAGAGTAATGACACCCAAAGGCAGGTGTTGCCTGAAAGTAGAGAAGGGTAAGATCAGTTTTAAGAAAGTATAGCAAGGGACCTAGTAAAGCAAAGTCATTCTGAAGCCATTTAAGGGAACAACAAACAAGAAGAATAGAAAAGATCTGCAAAGATATTATGAAAAACTTTCCACCATCAGTGTGGTAACACATGGGTATCATCATAGTCCTGAATGTACTTATAAAAGAAAGTAGAAGAAACCCTAAAATGAACAAAGACAAGAAAAGCAACTCAGTTCAATTCAGTAAACATTTATTAAGCACCTGCTATGTGCCAAGCACTATGCTAAGTGCTGGGGATACAGAAAGAGGCAGAAGACCCTCCTTGCCCTCAAGGAGCTTAAGATCTAGTGGATTGTAATAGATGAGTGTACATAGAGTAGATCTGTTTTAGAGGAAGGCATTGAGGGATCATTTACAAAGTATCCGAAAGATAAGAAACCAAAGTTGTGGGGAAAAATTCAGACATTTATTAATCCTGAAAAAAGACAAGCTGACCTATTTATCTACTTTTCTGTATATACAAAATTTTCATGAGAGCCCTCTTCATACACTGTACAAGTAGAGAACAGACAGGCTTTTCAAATGATACTACAGTGGCCTTTAACTTTACCACCACACGATTTACTGAAAGCTGTTGAGGATATAAAGCCCCACTGTGTTTATCATTTGGTTACAAAATACTTAATTCGGTAGAGCAAAAACCACTTTAAAGGCTCTCATTCATACATCAAAATCATTTAAGATTTCTTAGTAGATTTAACAACAGAACCTTCTCAGCTCGCCTCTGATCCAAGCATCAGGTGAGGAATATGATGAGAAGATGTATGCTTGCCAACAGTATTTGACACTTCACATGGAGAAAGTCTGTCACAGAGACCAATATGAATTGGATGATGAGGTAAATGATACTGGTGCATCAAGCCCCAAAACATTTCTGAGCTTCATCCGAGAGATCCATAATCACTTGGAATGATTTGGCTTGATCATCGTATCAAGCGGCTGACAAATGTCTCTTGCCCAGATTGCCTTGGAGTTGGGTGGACTTTTCCACCATTTGTATATCTGAGGGGAGGAAAGAAACCCAGTACAAATGGACCCAAATTGAGTTGCATTCAGAATTAAATGGGCAGAAGAGCGGGCTGGATTGACTTCAAGAAATTGCAGAGTTTCTGTAACGCCGAACTTCTCCCAGAAACAAAAGCCCATCTTTTTAAATACCAATTCTCACTTATGTTATGTATCTGTAAGACATAGAATATAAGTATCCAAAGAATTAAAAATGGGTATTACATAGAGGGTAAAAGGCATATGGTAGGTGTGATCTGGCTGTATCAGAGAACAGATAAGTATGTTGGAAGACCAGGAGTAAAAGATGTCAGGAGATGGTAAGATCAAAAGAGAAGATGAGCTAGTCATATGGTGAGTGAAAATAGGTGGATGACTATGGCAAATTTGTGGAAAGATGTGAACAAGAGTCATGTAGCTAGGCTGATCTGTATTCTTGGAGGAGATCTTTAAATCAATGTGATCACAGATCCTTGTGGGTTAAGAAAATTTTAATGTTTTAAAAACTCCTTGAGGTAAATGCTTTTGTAAAGTAGGAGTTGTGTAACTATAGAAGATCTCCACAGGTATGGTCAGGATTTCACCCAAACCACTGAAACTTCAGGTTCCCAGGAGATTCTCAGGTTGACAGGGGGAAGGTATGTGTCAGGGAAAAGAACTAGGTGTCAAGCCTTAGTAGATTTGTTCGGAGTTGGAGAAGTGAATTGAATTCTGAAGTTTTTTTTTCCACTCTTCTCATTTAGACAGACATTGTGAAACATTACAGGATCCAGAAGAGGTCGATCTGAAACCTCAGATGAAGGCAGATCACATTTGAGATGGGGAGTTGGATTAGGTTGGATTAGGTGATACCTAAATTCTTTTCTGGTTTTAGATTCAGCATCAGTCCAGAAGATTCTACTTAATCCCTTTTTTTCTGCAAAAAGACCACTCATATTTTTAATAGACTTTTTTTAAGGCAGTTGGGGTTAAGTGACTTGCCCAGGGCCACACAGCTAGTAAGTGTCAAGTGTTTGGTCTGAGGCCAAATTTGAACGCAGGTCCTCCTGACTTCAGGGCCAGTGCTCTATCCACTGCGCTACCTAGCTGCCCTTTAATAGACTCTTAATGAAGTTTTTACATTTTTTTAAAGTTATACACTAGCAATTTATTTTGATACTTACTAGATTTTGCAGCTATGTTAGAAAAAAGTTAGGATTTGGTTATTTTCTTTATCAAAGCTATTTCAAACATTGTGAAAGTAGGAGGTAAACTGTCTCAAATTCAATAGATTAATCATAGGTAGTGAAATATTTTTATTACGATTTGGAAAAAGCTGTCAGTTAAAACAAAATTGTTAAAACAACCTTAGTACATCTTAATAAAAGTTTAGTGTGCAAAGCAAAGGAAGTGGTAGTCCTATCCCTTGTACACTGCACTGGTCAGACCACATGTAATATCCTTTCTTGGACACTAAATTTTATCAGTAACATTGACAAAGGGGCAACCCCTCTGTGGTGAAGTATATGGAAACCAGGTCGTATAACACATTTAGATGGTGCTTTATAATGGTTGAATGAACAGCATGTGTTTAACTTGGAGATACTGTATCTTTAAAAATCTTTATTTAGGTGCTCGAGCAATGATGGTTTCATTGTTATTCTGTGAGGAGACTTTAACTGTCTTTCCTCAGACTCAACTGTGATTGCTGAAGATGAGAGGACAAGGAAAAACGACTATAAGTGGACTGTTTTAGCCATTAAGAGGAAAACTTGAGTATGGAGCTAATTCAGTTTTCAACTTTTCTTTTTCTTAAATTTAAAGTCTGGGAAAAAAGTTTCTGTTTTTAAAAATTCCCAGATGATTTTTTAATTTAAGAATTAATTGAAGAGAAGAAAATGTTTTTCTCTTACATATTTGTACTTCTAATCTCTGAATTCACATACTAAAGTGCCTTCTACTGGTTTACTTGGTGTCACTTTAAAAATTAAGCATTCAAAAACTTGTTTTAATTTTTTTAAATTTAAGCTTTCATTTTGAAAGCATATTTCCAATTAAGAAATTGGAGTAGCCTGAAAGGATTTCAAACTGAAACTTTACAAAATATATAGATTTATTCAGGTTTGAAATCATGGATTTTACTCTACTTTGACTCCTTGGGAGGAATTGCAATACTGATTTCTTGCTCTTGTTTGGCACAAACAAAAGGGTATGAGTTACTTTCTCCCACCACTATGCCTTCTCAACAAATTAGGGATACAGAAAATCTTTTACAAGAGGCTTTGGGTTGGAGTTTTATTTTTGGTTCTTTTAAGATCACCTATACATCCATAATCAATATTGGTAGATTGAAGGATTAATCTCTTTGGTGTCCAGCCCACTTCATTCTCTGCTTAGCTAGCTTTTATGAATCTGAGAGTAGTAAAAGGTAACGCAAAATAACTTCCCATAGTAAGTTGGGAAGGAGTCTGGGTGTCAGGTGCCACTTTACCCCAAAACTCCCTCCTCTTTCTGATCCATTCCCAAGTTTGATTAGACAAGGTGCAGGTGTCAGATCAACAAGAATTTATTAAGTACTTTCTGTGTGACTAGAACCCTACCACTTCCTCCTGTCCCCAGAATACAAAGAAAAGCAAAAACAAACAAACAGTCTCTACCCTCAGGGAACTCCCAGTCTAAAGGGGAGACAGCATGCAAACAACTATATTCAAATGAGACATAGGCTAGATAAACTGTGGTAGGGGGGAGGCACAAGCATTAAGAGGGATTGGGAAAAGCTTTTTGCAGAAGGTGGGATTTTAGCTGAGAATTAAAGGAAGCCAGGAAGCCAAGATGAGAAAGAATTCCAGGCATGAGAAACTCCCATGGAAAATGTCTGGAAATGGAATGTCTTTTATGAGGATAGCAAGGGCAAGGAGGCCAGCATCACTGGTTTGTAGCCTACAGGGAGGGGAGTAAGGTGTGAGAAGAATAGAAAGCTAAGGGGAGGTCACGTTATGAAGGGCGTTAGAAGCCAAGGATCCTGAAGCTGATTGAATAGGAGGGAAAAGGTCAGACCTAGCTCAAGAAAAATCCGTTTGACAGCTGCATGGAGCATGGACTGGTGTGAGGAGACACAGTGTCTGCCGACCAAGCTGAGTTGAACCCTACCTTGGCTTTAGTCACAGCCTTCAGGGTCTCATTCAGCTCCTTCCTCTTCTCTTCCTTCCCTTTTCCCCCCAATTTGGACCTAGAAGAAATTTCTGGTCAGACTCATCATGTGCTGAAAATTTAAATTGGTAAGTGTCCCCAAAGGGTACTTTTGGTTGACAGCAGTCTTCTGTGTCTAATCAGCCCTATCTGCTGGATCACCACTGATTACCCCCATTTTCCTGTAGCTTAGGCCATGTACTTGCCTCATAGCTGAAGACCCATTTCCAGGTATCTGTTCTGGGAGTTACCCTTCCCCCTCCCCCCCAAGTTACTAGCCAAAGTTCATTAAGATAATCCCCCAAGCTCCACACAGGGGCTGTTTGGATGGCTGTTTCTAAGCCAGAAGTTCAGGTGATGACTTCTAACACATCTTTCTCATTCTCTTACTTAAGACCAAAATGGTCAGATTTGAACTTAAGGAATTGTGAGTGGTTTTTTCATTTGTTTATAAATAATTACATAATCTTGTCTTTCATTGTTGTCAGGGTATTCAGGGACTCAGGGACTCTTAGGTTGGTAGACCACTCCCTCTTCAGGGCTCAGAGAATCCTCAGCCTAAATTCTTTGACAGGCCCTTATTAAAACTCCACTTTAGGCATTACTAGTGTACTGTTTAGTGTGTTCAGTTTTGCACATGTATGCTGGATTTTCCTCCCAACTATAGATTAAAACTCCATCTGAGGTGAACACTATTTTTTCCCTCTGTATCCCTGCCCAACACCTACTTGTAGGTCAGCTTTGAGTAAGGTGGGAATTTCATCGTGATACTGATGGACCCTTTTTAGTAGGTACAAACCCTGAGGGAAGAGGATGAAACCTTAAGGTGGAGTGAGCCTTCCCACATCTCCCAGCTCTTACATTTCCCTACTTTTGGCTATAAACTCCCAGAAGTTTTATCTCAGCAACTCTGTGTTCTTTGGAAAACGAGGGGACAGGGAGCAGCTAGGTGGAGCAGTAGATAGAGCACTGGCCCTGGATTCATGAGGACCTGAGTTCACATCTGGCCTCCGACTCATAACACTAACTGTGTGACCCGGGGCAAGTCACTTAACCGCATTGCCTAGCCGGAAAAAAAAAAATGAGGGGGGACCAGACAGTACCTATCTCTTTTCTTCCTTCTCCTTCAGCATATGTGGAGGAGAATTAAAACAGGTGGTGGGCAAAACAGTCACTGCCAGAAGACAGGAGCGATACCATGCTGGGAGAGAAGGCAGAGGCTGAGTTGAACTAATTGATCTTTCTATGCAAAAGTGAGTTTATATGACCACAGCGTAAAAAGTGTTTGAGGAGGAATCTCTCTCCCTTACTTGACAAATCAAAATTAGTCATATCTAACAGAGGTAAGAAGTAAACTACCAACCAAATACATATGCTCTGCTCCAACCCCTGGTTTGGAGAGATATGGCCTGGTCCATTTGTAGACTACCCCTAGTGCTGCTTCTCTTCTCTTCCCTGCAGGGCCTGGTCTCAGTGATGAGACATGGGGTATGATGTAGCCCGATTCCAGGGGGATGTTGATGAAGACCTTATTTGTCCTATCTGCAGTGGAGTTCTGGAGGAGCCAGTACAGGTGAATTGGCAGAGTGGAAGAGTAATGGGTCTTGTGTTTGTGTCTCTCGCACACTGCTTGTTGAATTGGGATAATGAGAGGTAGTTCCTATTTTTCCAGGTTTCAGTTTATCCTGAACCATTCTACTTTGAGAAACAATAGTGTTCATGGAGTGCTGAGGCCCAGAGAATGGAACCCCCATGAGTATCAGGAAAGCCAGCATTGAAACAGAAGTGTCCCAATTTATGGTTTCACATCCCCCAGTACAGAATGGGTAACAGAGAAGTAGGCCTAGGTCTTCCCCCAAGGTCTGCCTGAGTAGGTGGAATGCCCCAGGGGGGGTCCCTCTATTTGTTTTTTTAAGTCAGGGTTCTATTTTCCTCAAATACCATGTATTAACTGAGGAAGGGAAAAGATCCAAGTAGAATGGATAGAGACCTGGCCTTAGAACCAGGGAAACCTTGGGTTCAAGTCTCACTTCTGAGATACTGGTTGTGTGACCATGGGCAGATCGCTTAACCTCTCAGTGTTCTACTTAACTCTCTAAAAGTGTCAAAGAGAAGGTGCAGATGGAGTTTCCTCTTTTGGGGGTTCCCTCTATCAAAATTTAATAATGGCTCCAGTGTCTCTTCCTATCAGATTTTTCTGGGAAGATAGTTCAAATATTAGCTGATGAATGGAAGAAATGAATACTATGACATATATGCTAGCAAAGAAGCTCTAATTAAACATTAAAGTTGGAGTTAATGAAATAAAAAAAAAATCCCCACAGATGGAATAAAGTTGGGTCTGCAATCCTTGAGTAATAAAGCTGCCAACCTAAATAGATGGCTGGAGTGATGTGTTTCCACAGTTACCTACAAGCATTTACTTGAATATCAGTCATAACACCATGCTTAGATTTCCTGGCAGGTTTCCTTTAGCGTCTCTCTGTGCTGGTATGGCCAGGATCTTCCAGCTAGGCCCTCTTCCTGTCTGTCCATGGCTTCATCCCTGGCCCCTGTAAGTAGGAACTCTGATTTTATAGATCTTGACAGGTAAGAATCCTTTTGGTGCTCTGCCCCATGCCCTGTTGGCTGCTGCCTGCCCCTGGTGATTATTTACCTCCCCTGTCATCAGCATGTGTGATTGGGAGAGTTCTCAAGATTCCCAGAGCCTCCTAATTGGTCATCATCCCTTGGTCTAGAAGTCACCCTGCCTGTCTTCCTTCCCAAGACCTATCTATGGGGCCAGCTCCTGCATGTAGTGAGCTAGGCTCAGTGGAGACAGAGAAAGAAGCCGCTCCCTGCCACTAAATCACTCCTCCTTTTCCTACAAATCAGTCACTTGGTGTCTGACAGATGTGAGAAGTTAAAGTACCAGCCAGAAAGCATGAGCAAGATGAATTCCTAATGATCCCCACAAGATGCCCTGTTCTAGAATCCTTGGTGCTCGCTTAGTAAATACCATTTGAAGGTGTGCTCTTGTGACACCTGGAGTTAGGGCTAGTAAATCCCCATTTCTGAAACTAGTAGCTCCCTAGTCAGACCCACAGAATCTCAGGTTGGAAGACCACTTTAGAGAGATCTGTAGTCCCCATAATTTTATCACAAAGGATTTCCTGGATCTCCTGCCCCTGTGGCTTCAGCTCTTGGATTACCTATTCTCCCTGTCCCTTCAGACACCCAGAGGTGGAAAGGTGCAGTGTCTGAACAAATTCAATTTCAGTGTAACTGACTACTGACCTCCCTGGTTTCCTTTAAGTCCCAGCTAAAATCCCATCTTTGGGAAAGGAAGCCTTCCCCAACCCCTCTTAATTCTAGTGCCTTCCCTCTATTAATTATCTCCTATTTATCTATTTGTTTGCAAGTTGTCTTCCCCATTAGACTTCAAATTCCTTGAGGTCAAGGACTTTGTTTTTGGCCTCTTTTTTTGTATCCCCAGTGTTAGCATAGTGCCTGGTACACAGTAGGCATTTAATGTTTTTGATTGATTAAAATGACATGAGTCATTTCACCCCTCACCTCCAGACAAGACTTTGCTCTGCAGAACAAACCATGTAAATAAATGTTCCTCTCGTTCTAGGTGAGAGAATCAAGTGTGTCTCATGTATGAGAAACTCGTGTCTGCAGCCTTTTTGTAACCAAGGGACCCCTTGGTATCCAGCAGGGCCTGGTTGTTAGGTGGTGACCTCACAAAGGCCCATGGGTTTTTCCTATCAAAATTACTGGCCCCTAAGGACTTTGAAAGGCTCTCTGGGCAGCAAGAAGGGAGAGGGCAAGAACAAGAGGAATCTTTCTGTATCTTTTCTGAAGTGGGAAATATAAAGTCAAGGAAGAGTCTGGTCTCAAAAAAGCCCCAGTGGCCTCTGTTGAGGCTAACACAAAGTGTTGGACATCAGCAGAGGAGTCTCAAGTAGAAAGGTAGCAAAGTGACAGTGGGGGTGGGCGAGTTCCAAGCCAGGGACTGTGTTTCAGGTAACACCTAGGAAGTCCTTGGCATTCCTAAGGAAAAAAGCCTCAGTCTGTCTAGAAGGAGACTCGCCTAACTTCGGCAAGGCCAACCAGTTTCTTTAATACACCTTGCTTTTGCCTGGAATGACCCCCTCTTCTTCCATCCAAATCCTGTCCATTCTAGAAGCTTCCACTCACAAAATTCCCTCCACTCACCAACCATCGTAGTCTCTTATATCAATTACTCTCTTTATAATTAATTTGTTAATCACGTACTGCTTTGTGACATCTTTTCCCTTGTGTTGAAAATTACTTAAATCATTATTATTTAACTTGTCTTTATGTTTCATCTCCCCAACTGGATTATAAACTTCTTGAGGGAATAGATTGCAGCTTTTTGTAACTTGCAGAGTGCAAGGTGTGTTGTAGATGCTCAATAAATATTTGTTGATTTGACCTGTTTCAACCCCAGAGGGCACTTGGTCTCGCTTGGCTAGGTCATGAAAATCTGTACTTGGTGGAGAGAAGGAGGGAGCCCTTGTGATTCCTGGGAACTTTTGAATAGCATTACCTAGGAGAGTTCTGACTGGCTTGGTCTGTGGAGATGATGCCAACACTGCTTCCAGACCCTGCTGACTGTCCTGGGTAACTCTCTCCCTGCCAGGCCCCTCACTGTGAGCACGCCTTCTGCAATGCCTGCATCACCCAGTGGTTCTCTCAGCAGCAGACTTGCCCAGTAGACCGAAGTGTAGTGACAGTTGCCCACCTGCGCCCCGTCCCCCGGATCATGCGGAACATGCTGTCAAAACTACAGATTGCCTGTGACAACGCTGTGTTTGGCTGCAGTGCCGTTGTGCGGCTGGACAACCTCATGTCTCATCTCAGTGACTGCGAGCACAACCCCAAGCGGCCTGTCACCTGCGAGCAGGGCTGTGGGTGAGGATTTCCACCTGACCCTTGCCTCTAGTCCACAGAGTTAGAGTTCTTCCCTCTCCCCGTTACTATGCCCAGAATCAAGACAAATGAGGGTTAGCTTGCCTCTAGCCAGAGAATGCCAAAATAGAGTTGTCTTTTGGGCTACAAGATCTTGCTCTCTAGGCAAAGTGGTGCCTTGTCTTTCTTACCTCCCTCTGCCCTCCAGGCTTCCTGATTGGAGTGTCCTTCCCAAAGTTTAACCTTCATTTGGAATTTTTGACCTTTGCTCTTCCTGTAACTGATATGGTGAAAGGCAAATTTTCTAATTCTATAGAATAGCCTTTTAGAGTCATGAAAATCGATTGCACATCTCCCTCTTCTTCCCCACCCTTATCAAGGGGCCTCCTTATCTGGCTTAAGTTCCACCCTTCTCATCCTCATCCTCTTGATTCTCTGCTCGTCCTAGCTCACATGGGTCGGTGTGGGTTGGGAATGTCTGGGAGCAGAGTTTCGTTATGTGTGTAGCAGTGGGTTGGAGGGCTTCTGAGAAAGGGTAACTGTATAGCTGGAGTCTACATATGGGAAGAGAGAACAACACTATCTGGGTAGGGTTTTTAGAAAGTGGGATGGCAGAAGGGAACATAAGAGAGTGAAAACTGTAGTAAGTGTGAAGGCTTTGACTGGGAGAAGGCTCTAGCCTTCCTGGCACATTTCTGCAGTGGAATGGGACTCCTTACAGTCTCCTTGTTAGGCTGGGCATTGGAAGCCCAGTCTTGGCCACTGAGCCCCCTGTCATACTCTCTTCCTGCCCTGGGGTTGCAGCCTGGAGATGCCCAAAGATGAGCTGCCCAACCACAACTGCATTAAGCATCTCCGCTCAGTGGTACAGCAGCAACAGACGCGTATTGCGGAGCTAGAGAAGACGTCAGCTGAGCATAAGCACCAGCTGGCAGAGCAGGTATGTCTAAGGGGTTTGGGGAATGGGGTTGTTTAAAATAACAGTCCTATCATTGAGTACGGTGCATATGTATGAGAAGACCAATCATTGTGTCATATGGATGAGCAGGATAGAATGTGAAGGATAGAGTCCTTGCCATTTCCCTCTTCACATCAATTATTGCTGAGAGTCCTTAACCTTGAACAGTACCACCCACTTAGGGTTTATCTCCCTAAAATCCCCCTAAGCTGAGCTGCCCTTTATCTTTTTGCCTGCTGCTTCCTCTAACTCATCCTGGCTCTCCTTTCTTCCAATAGAAGCGGGACATTCAGCTGCTGAAGGCGTACATGCGCGCTATCCGCAGTGTCAATCCCAATCTGCAGAACCTGGAGGAGACCATTGAGTACAATGAGATCCTAGAGTAAGTGGAATCCCTGACTTCAGGGCAATCCTTAGACAGACAGAGGAAACCCTGTTGGCCATTAGTCCCTCAGGCCTTGGGAGGGAAAGAAGACTTCTTGGCAGGGGTAATCTAAGGCAAGAATAGAGGGAAAAGATGGGTCCCTGATTTAGATTTGGGTTAGGTTGTTCTACCAAAGGTAGTGACTTGGATTACATTGACCACCCAGAATTCTGTTTTGGGCTCTATACAGGTAGAAACTGCTGTTTTTGCCCCTCTGAAGCTTGTAGTATAAGGGAAGACAGTATATACGACCACCCTAAGCACAAATGAGAGTGAACATTTTGACTAAGGCTCTTCTAGATCTGAAAGTTTAATATGTGGAAAAAAGTGTTAAGGGACAGGAAATGAGGTGGGGCAAAGCAAGGAAAGAACTACTGAGCCAGGTTTAGAAAGAAGGGATAAACACACAAGCTAAGCCTTGCGCATAGTGTAATAATACTCATATTTATGTTACCATTTTAAAGTTTGCAAAGAGTGTTTTCCACATCTCATTTGTTTCTCACAATGACACTGATGGAGGTGCTCTCGTCCCCATTTTACAGATGAGAAACTTAGGCTCAGAGAAGTTACGGGCTATGTCCAGTGTTTATAACATTGCATAGAGCCCAGGGCAACCTGGACTGGGGGGAGAGGAGCTAGAGTGATTTCCTAAATTGCTATCCACACAGGTGGGTCAACTCCCTGCAGCCAGCACGGGTGACGCGCTGGGGTGGCATGATCTCCACACCAGACGCTGTGCTGCAAGCAGTCATCAAGCGCTCTCTGGTGGAGAGCGGCTGCCCAGCCTCCATAGTCAATGAGCTCATTGAAAATGCCCACGAGCGAAGCTGGCCTCAGGGCCTGGCCACCCTAGAGACACGTCAGATGAATCGGCGCTACTATGAGAACTACGTGGCCAAACGCATCCCTGGCAAGCAGGCAGTGGTGGTGATGGCCTGTGAGAACCAGCACATGGGGGATGACATGGTGCAGGAACCAGGGCTTGTCATGATATTTGCGCACGGCGTGGAGGAAATCTAGGAAAACACAGCAAGACTATAAAGCGAGAAGGAAACCTGAACCCCCACCATTCCACTGGGCATGTCCCTCTCACCCCCAGTTGCCTATATTCAAGCCCCAGCTTCTCACTCTCCTGGCACTAAAGTGCCCCAGGGCATTAGTTTCTTCCTCCCTCATACCTCTAGCCCCCTGTGCCCAAGAGGGAGATCCAGATGTGGATGCTATTACTCTCATCTCCTTTCCCCCCAAATTTCTGTACAGTTTCAGCCTGATTGGAAGGGTCCCCACCTCTACTTGCCCTAGGTCCAGATGTTTGCAGAAGGCACAAAAATGTCCATTGCTCCTAGAGGAGAGGGTAGCACCACCTCAAACCAAGGGGGTTGGAGCCTGTAGGCATTCTGGTCCTCAGCAGGATTGATGGGGAAATGTGAAGGGGTGAGGCAAGGTCAGAAGAAAAGACATAGGAGTGGTAAGTGATGCCAAATGGAAACTGATCAGCACTGGTGACTGGGAGTGGGGTGGGGATGGTGCTTATGACCTCTGTGCCAAGCGGGAATCTTTCTCTTCACCCTTGGGGAGAGGGGCAGATTTTAGCTGAATGGGTGGGGGAATGGGTACTGTAATGTGTCAGCAGGGCCTCTCTTCTGTCTTCCACTTTTCATAAATAGAATGATGGGTTCTGGGAGTTTGGGGGTGGGGGCAGGTTGGTGCAGCCAGGAAAGAGCCCTTCCCTGCCAGGCTTTTGCCAAAGTAGGGTGAGCTGATGTCCTTTATGGTTAGGGCAATGGTAGTTTCCAGATTTCCCCTCCCCCTCCCTTGTGATTGTGGTTCAGTATTTTTTGTAATAATTTGCTTTTAGGTTTTGTTCTGTTTGTATATCTCCCCATTTGGCGAGTTTTGTGTTTAAAAAGAGTGAGCCACCTCTGGCCTCTCCCATTTCCCACTCAGCCAAGTGTTGGGTGTTTAATTTATTTACATTATTTTTTCTTTCCTTTTTTCTGCCCCCCCCCCCACGAGACCAAAAAAGCTTCCCCTTTCTCCTCCTCATCCAAACTTTCTTCCCAAACCCACGAGAATTAAGAACATCATTCCTTTGCTGTTCCTGTTGTGGGGGATTATCCTGGGTGTGAGGGTTGGGACGGGGTTTATTCTTCCCCTTCATTACCTCTGATGTTTTGCTTGAGCATAGGTGAACACAGTGGCCGTTGGCTGATAAGAGAGCTATCTATGTATCTACTCTCCAACCCTAATTTCCCAGGTTAGTCTTCTGTCTGACCCCCATCAAAGTCTATTGAAAGACCAACAATGTCTCAGCCATTTGGAAAGCTGGAGCCTCTGGCCTTCTCACCCTGAAACTCCTTGGAGTTTGTAGCATTAATTTTTGAAGACGAGCTTCTCTTTTCCCTTGAGTTGTGGGGCTGGGTTTGGGCAAGCTGCTATTGCCACTTTGTCATTGGTTTAGGTTCAAGTTGGTCATCCAGGGCAGCTCTCAGACTCTGAACTGGCTGCTGGTTGCTTGGAAGCTGGTGGGTGGACAATTGTTTTGCTTCTCAAGGCACGGCTTGAGGTCAGTCCTTTCATATCCATTTAGTTTCTGTTCTTTTTGGTATTTCCTGTGTAGGCCCGCTTGCAGTTGGTGAGTGGCCGCCCTTCTAGGGGTACCTCTAGAATTGGACAGGACAGGCATGTGTTCTAGCTCCCATCAGGAGCTCAGAAATTAGAAAAAGCTTTTCTACTAGGTGTAGTTACTGTAGCTAGTAAGTTTCCTGCTATCTAACCCACAAGACTCATACCCTCTTTCTCCTGAAACCCAAAAATTAATTTGGAATCATGATTCTGGCAGTCTCCATTCCTCATGCTGGTCTACAGGTTCTGGCTGTATTTGTGTTCATGATATTGACTGCATTCCTAATAAACCTTTTACTCTACTCACCAAATTCTTAATTCAGCCTTTCTACCAGGGTTTCTCCTCTGCCCTTTATTTCTCCCCTTTTTAACTCTCTTTGATACTTATTTGGCTTTATAACCTGCTTTGGTCTCCAATGTGTAAGTTTCTAAAGGTCACACTTTTTTTTTTTTTGAGGGTGTGTGTGTGTGTGTGTGTGTGTGGCATTTTTGGGTGCTTTTCTTAAATCCCTTTCTCTTTTGCCAGCTGCCTATATTTTTATAACACAGACTGGTATCTTTACCTTCATACAATCCCCTTGTTTTAACTGTGAATCATATATCCAAGGTCTCAAATCCTAATTTGACCCTCCCTGTCTCTAATTGATATCTACAATGGGAACTTTCCCCCCTTCTGTCATCTTTGCTTTGAATACCTAGTTTCTGTACTAAAGAAGGGAACTGTGATCTCCTTTCACTTGCCTTGATCATTCTCATGGAATGAAGGGGCAACCTGAGGATACAATAAATAGCAGCTGTCCACAAGAAGAGTGTGACATTGGCCTTGCAGCCACAAAGACCTGCCCTGTGAATGAGTGCTGGCTGTGTTACCTGAGCTAGTTACCTAACATCTCAGTGTTCTAACCAGCTAAGGTTTAGATTTGCCAAGAAGGTTCTGACCTACATTGGTAGTAAGAGTTTCCTTATGCAAGGCCTCCTGCTACTAATGAAATCCCAAGTCCTATCCCCCTCTGAAGAACATTACAGTCTCTTTGGTGCTACAGTGCATAAGTATGAAGTGACCAGAATGTAGTGACTGAGCTATTCCCTTAAATGTGGCGATGGGTCAGGAGCAGGGACGTGGAGTGACCTTGCTTCTAGTGAGGGTGCTGTTGCTCAAAACATTTTCAGAATTGTCTTCAAAACCTGTGGAAGTCTTTGGAATACTGTTCAATAGTACCTTCATTCTGTACTTCTCCCTTCCTCTCCCCCCTCCCTCCCAAAAATCATTTGAAGCCAAAACTGGCAAATTAGTGGTTAATTTGGCCTTTTTTTTCCTTTTTTTTTTTTTTAAAAAAAAAGAGACTTGAATTTGTTGGCCAAGGATCAATGTAGCTCAGTTGGAGAGGCTTATCAAAAGTAAGTTGGCAACTAGGTGACAAAAATTTTTGGCCATGGGGGCACAAAGCAATTAGGGAATTGGGAGGCACTATACAAATGTGATTGTGAAACATTGCATTTGTAAGTGTGAAGAGGCTTGTTGGTCAGAGGATTGGAGTTCAGTGGTTAGTTTTGATAACTTTCTAGCTGTGTGACCCTTTGGGAAAGTCACTTAATCTCTCTGGGCTTCATTTTCCTAATCTGCAAATCAGAAATGATACTTGCACTGCCTACCTCACAGGGTTGTTGTGAGGAACATGCTTTGTAAGCCTAAAAATGTTTTATGGTTTACACTGTAAATTATTAATAAATGTGAGTTAATTCTAAGAGAAAAAAATGGTATTTTAAAAGCCTTTTACAGGCTTTAGCTGTATCTCAAAGGCACCCTGTCCTATATTTGAAGGATCTATGTGTAGAAGAAGAGGGGGAAAACTTATCAGAGAGGACTACAAAAGTCTTTGCTATTGATCAAGGAACAAATGATGCATATAGCCTTGCTTTGAAGTTCAGATGATGTTTGGGGAAGAAGTGAAATTCAAAGTTGGTAGTAGAACTTGGATGCTAAACTTGGGTTTGGATTTAAACTAATAGGAAATTGTAGCTTTTTGAGCAGAGAAGTTATATGATGAAAGCGTTTTACAATCTGGCAGAAGTATACAAACCTAGAAATGGAGAAACTGGAAACAGGAATCAAATTAAAAGAAGGTTATTGTAATTCAGGCATGAAGACATGGAGATATGATGCACTGGGATGAAGACTAAAGCGGGTGTTTGAAAGAGCCAAGGTGTTCCCCTCCACACACACTTTCAAGATAATGTGGGAGTGCATGAGTCTATAGGGGAAATATTGAGGGTGTTAAAAAAGGGGACAAATAATAATGGTCCCTCAGAAGGCAGACAGGCCAGCTTTAGAGGACAGGGGCCTTCTAGCAAAGATTACAATATGAAAGATTCCAACTAAGCTAAACTCCCCTGAGAAACACTTCAGGAACAATAAAAAAGCTTTAGATGAAACAAATATTCCATAAAACTAGAGAAACAGCTGTGAATACATTTATTCATTCCAGGATCACCCTAAGAAATTGCCTGAAGCCTACAAACATCCTGGTCAGGGAAGGGACCAGGGCCTGAAGCCAGCACATTTCATTGGTTGGTGCTGTACGAGGGGATGTGGTGGAGGCTAATGTGACCTTTTGATTGGGGCCCCACTAGGCTGGAGAACTGGCTGAGAACAAACCGCAGGTTGCAGCAGGAGCAGGACCTAGTAGAGTCCTACTCTGGGACAGCAGTGGGGAGACAGGACCTAATTCCATCCAAGATGGTGTGAATGGGCAGAAAATAGTCAACCAGGAACTGAGGCTGAAGACGGGGGAAAAACCACTGCTAATGATAAAATTTGACTTAAGAGAATCCCAAGAGGAAATCTCAGAAGAAGAAAGTAGTTGTGTAAAACAGTCAGAAGCCCTGAAGAAAAAAAAAATGAATTGGATATAAGGACTGTAAGAATGAATCTAAGAAATTTAGCTGACATGAAATAGAGAATGGATAACACTCCTAGAGAAGGGGCTTAAAGCAGATGAGAAACATTACCCAAGTAGTGGACTCTGAAAAATAGCATGGAACAAACAACTTCCAGATAAAACAAAACAAAAAAAAAACTGTATTAGGCTGAAAAATCAGAATTTGAGATATTTTGTAATGACCTAGAAAATAAGAGAATCTAAAAATCTGAACTCTGCCAGGGGAATTGTAGAAAGATGGTGATAGACTAGGACCCAGAGGAGCCCAGATCCCTTGCAAAACACCAAAGTAAAATTTTAAAATGCACCATTAACTGGGAAAATATGGCAAATCACTTATAGACACCTCCATTCAGCCTAGGGGTGCACAGAAGGACTGCTGGAATCTTGGGAGGAGCTCTGAAGTAGACAAGTCAAGGTATGTTAAAATTTCTGCACAAAGCCTCAGGGCAACTGGAGAGACCCAGATCTATCTGGCAGGAAAAAAGGTCAAAGGCAAAGACCAGCCAGGGTGACCCTGAAACTGGGTGAAGAAAGTCCAATAGTATTGGGGAAAAAACTGAAGTCAGAGGCTAATGCAAGTCTCTCCCCTAGGGCCCTGTGGCAAGAAGGCCCTAGGCAGAGTCCAGATCAATAGCAACCCCAGATTCCTCTGAAGGAAGAGCCTGATCTTGGCCTTCCCATGCCATTCAGGAATAAAGGGAAAGTGTCCAACACAAGCATGGATACTCTTACGCCTCTCCTGTCCCTCTTCGCTGCCCCCCCCCAGACCAAATACTATGAGGAAATACCTTGGACTGAGAAATCCCTATAGGGTAAACCCTGAGGAAGAGCTATCCTACAAGTCCAACCAAAGCCTTGGAGAAAAAACCATCCTGGCCATAAAGATTCCCAAAAATACCTGGGAAAAATGAAACACGAGACATAAAATGGATGAACTAGGGAAGAAAGAATGGCAAGGAAATCTTATATCTGAGAGTAGACAGTAGAAAATTACTGAAGAACTGAATGCCCAGAAAATTAGAATGGGCCAAACAAAATTACTCAATGAAACATGATGTGTGTGTGTTTAAAACAGACCTCCAAAACAGGTAAGGAAAAAGCTGATCTAAGGATTATCTATTTGAAAATTGTGACCCACCCTCAGGTAGGTATCTACCCACTACATCCCTCCCAAAATACCTAGAATACTACATTTGAAGAAATAAATAGGGGCGGGTAGGTGGCACAGTGGATAGAGCACCAGCCCTGGATTCAGGAGGACCTGAGTTGAAATCCAGCCTCAGACATATAACACCTACTAGCTGTGTGACCCTGGGCAAGTCACTTAACCCTACTGCCTAACCAAAAACAAAACCAAAAAAATAAAAACTGCCTAGAATTCTTTGAACCTAAGAACAAAGTAAAAGTAGGGGAAATGGGTGAATACTTAACAAGTATGAAATACTTAAATTAACAAAAGAAACTAAGAAGACATAATCAAACTGCCAAAGGGAGGGAAAAAAACTCGAGAACCAGATGGTTTTACAAATGAATTCTATCAAACATTCAAGGAACAATTCCAACAGTACATGAATTGTTGGCAGTAATAAGAAAATTCCAATCTCTGTAATACAAATATAATCATGATACCTAAACCAGATAAAAAACAAAGAAAATTTTAGATCAATACCTATGATGGGGGCAGAGCCAAGATGGCGGAGTAAAAGCAGTAACTTGCTTGAGCTCTCCCCCAAACCTCTCCAAAATACCTGTAAAAAATGGCTCTAAAATTCTAAAGCAGTAGAACCCACAAAAAAGACAGTGAAACAACTTTCTAGCCCAAGAAAACCTGGATGGTTGATTGGAAAGGTCTATTGCACCAGGCTGGGAGAGGAGTACAGTTCAGTGTGGGTGCATAGACAAAGACGGCCTCAGCAAACCTGGAGCAGGCTTTAGGGGACTGAATCACGGGCAGTTGTGGTGGTTTCCAGACTTCTCAACCCACAAACACCAAAGACGATGTGGAAGGTCAGTAGGAAAGGCTTGTGACGGCAATGAAAGAGAAGCTTGATGGTAGCCCAGGGTGGCAGCTGCTCCCAGAGCTCTTGGCTCACAGTTGGAGGGGGAATTGCGTGGCTATTCAGAGGGGAATTGCAGGGATCTCTTTGCTGGTGCTAAGCAGGAATCTCTTACTTGACTGTGCTTGGATCTAGGTCACAGTTCTGGGTGGTGGTCCTGGGGCCAGGAGGAGTACTGATGTGGGGGACTTGTGGTGGCAGTGGAGAGGGAATCCTCTTCACAGTTCCAAGGCAGAAAAGAGTGCTTATGGTCACTCATAGACCAGAGCACAGGCCAGGAAAGGAGTAAACACCATGCCTTTGATCATACCACCTTGGAAGAACTGAAGATACACAGGTCCCTAGAAATATCTCTGAAAATAGCTGCACAAAACCCCTGAAGCTTGGGACAGTACATTCTCCACACTGGAAGCAGACCCTTACCTTAACAAAGAGTTTATAACTTAAGTAATTGAGATCATGAGCAAGCAGTGGGAAAAAAAAGACCATAAAATCTTACTTTGGTGACAAAGAAGATCAAAACATACAATCAGAAGATGACAAAGTCAAAGCTCCTATACCCAAAGCCTCCAAGAAAAATATAAATCGGTCCCAGGCCATGGAAGAGGTCAGAAAGGATTTTGAGAAGCAAGTAAGAGAAGTAGAGGAAAAACTGGGAAGAGAAATGAGAGTGATGCAAGAAAATCATGAAAAACAAGTCAACAGCTTGCTAAAGGAGGCCCAAAAAAATACTGAAGAAAATAACACCTTAAAAAATAGACTAGATGGCGGGGAGGTTGAGCAGAGTAAAAGCAGTGACTTGCTCGAGCTCTTCCCCAAACCCCTCCAAATACATGTAAAAAATGGCTGTAAACAAATTCTAAAGCAACAGAACTCAAAAAAGAGCGAAACAAATTTCCAGCCAAAGACTTAACCTGGATGGTTAATTGGAAGGGTATATCGCACCAGGTGGGGAGAGGAATGCAGTCCAGCGTGGGCACATAGGGAAAGAGCAGGCCTCAGAAAACCTGGAGCAGCCCTCAGAGGACTGAATCATATGCAGTTGTGGTGGTTTCCAGACTTCTCAATTCACAGATGCCAAAGACAACTTAGAAGGTCAGTAAGAAAAGTCTGTGACTGTGGTGAGAGAGAAGCTTGGTCCCAGCCCCAGTCCCGTGGCTGCTTCTGGAGCTTCTGGCCGACAGACTGAGGGGGAATCCAGTTGATGATTAGAGGGGGATTGCAGGGATCTCTTTGCTGGTACAGGATTCTCTTACTTTGCCCATGCTTGGACCTGGGTCACAGTTCTGGGTGGCAATCCTGGGGCAAGGAGGAGTGCTGGTGTAGTGGAGCTTGTAGTGGCGGTGGAGAGCAAATCCCCACAGTTCCAAGGCAGAAAAGAGTGTTTGTGGTCACTCATAGACCAGAGCACAGGCCAAGAAAGGAGTAAACACCCTTATCATACCACCTTGGAAGAACTGCAAATATATAGGTCCCTAGAAGTCTGTCTGAAAACAGCTGCACAAAACCCCCAAAGCTTGGGACAGTACAGTCTCCACACTGGAAGCAGACCCCTACCTTAACAGAGTTTGTAATTCAAGTAATTGGCTGGGATCATGAGAACGCTGCAAAAACAGTCAGACCATAGAATCTTTCTTTGGTGACAAAGAAGATCATAAAGTACAACTGGAAGAAGACTGAACAAAGTCAAAGCTCCTATATCCAAAGCCTCCAAGAAAAATATGAATTGGTCCCAGGCCATGGAAGAGCTCAAAAAGGATTTTGAGAA